CCCTGGCGGCTACGGCCACCGCGACGCGAGCGCTGCTGCGGGTGGACAGCAGCAGCCGTCTCGGTAAGAGGGGTCGCCGTGGCGACCGCAGCCGAAACGTCAGTGAACGTGCACGGGGATGGGGCACAACCGTGAAAGATAGAGACTGCCGGCGCACCGCTCGACTGAGCGATAGTGCGCTGGCGAGTCTCGATCTCAGTGAGGGTGTCGACAAAGGCGGTCAGGGTGAGGTCACCCGGGTGCTGGCTAAGAAAGTGGTCGCGAGCACTAGCGAGGCAGTCTGGCAGGCGCATAGCGATAAAATAGAGCGTCATGCAGAAAGGAGGGGGGAGCGCAGTGAGCTGGGCAGCAGTGCTGGCAGTGCGATAGCGAGTCTCTAGGGCACGCAAATGAGTGGCAAAATCTGCGACAGTAGGGAAGGCAGCCAGGTCTGGGAACAGCATCGGAAAGAGCAAGCGGCCAGCAGAAGCGGAGGCAGGGGTGGAATAGCGAGCAATAACGGCGTCTAAATAAGTTTTGGCCGTTTCAACAGTAGCAAAACGCGAGCGCTCAGACACAGGGAGGGCGTGACTAATAGCAACCTGAGCTACTGCATCGCGTGAGTCCCAGACCGCACAGGCTAGCGCAGCAGTAGAGAAAGCCTCACGGTCATCAGAGGAGGGGTCAGCAGGGAGGGGAGTAGGTGCAGGGGGACGGGGGAGCAAGCCATCAGCATGGACAACCAGAGAGTGGCCATCCTGGCGCTGACCTGTAAGCTGGCGGCGAAGATCGGAGAGCCAGGCGGCGAAGTCAACCGCGTGGCCCTCAGCGTCCAGGCGGAGCACAAAGTCAGCCATCGTGCAGGGTCAGCGGCACAGCTCCTCAGCGACACAGCGGCACAGCAGCACAGCTCCTCAGCGGCACAGGAGCACAGCGGCGCGGGGACACGGCGGCAGCACTCTCCAGTAGGGCAGCAGCTAGGCGTCCCAGCGCAGGCAAGCAGAAGACACAGGGCCCGAGAGGACACGGCAGGCCGAGCAGGGGAGGCGGGCAGGTGCTCTAGGGCCGGGCTGGTGCTGGGAGGGGCCAGGCTGGTGCTGCTGGGGCTGGTCGGGCACGAGGAGGGGCCGGGCAGCGCTGAGGAGAGGCCGGGCGGCGCTAGGAAGGGGCCGGGCGGCACTAGGAGGAGGCCGGTCGGCACTAGGAGGAGGCCGGGCGGCACTAGGAGGAGGCCGAGCGGCACTAGGAGGAGGCCAGGCGGGCGAGCGCTAACAGCAGGCGCGACAGGGGCCAGCGGGCGCGACGGGGCCTAAGGGGCGCGACGGGGCCCAGCGGGCACGACGGGGCCCAGGGGGGGCGCGACGGGGCCGCGGAGGCGCGACGGGGACCAGCGGGCACGACGGGGCCCAGGGGGGCCGCGACGGGGCTTAGGAGGCGCGACGATGCCTAGGAGGCACGACGGGGCTCAGCGGGCTCGACGGGGCCCATGGGGGGCGCGACGGGGCCTAGGAGGCGCAACGGGGCCCAGCGGGGGCGCGTTAGGGCCTGGGGGTCGCGACGGGACCCAGTGGGCGCGACGGGGCCCAGGGGGAGCGCGACGGGGCCTAGGAGGCGCGACGGGGCCCAGCGGGCACGACGGGGCCCAGGGGGGGCGCGACGGGGCCTAACGAGCGCGACGGGGCCCAGGGGGGGCGCGACGGGGCCTAGGGGGCGCGACGGGGCCTAGGAGGCGCGACGGGCGGAAGCGGTAGGCGGGGGGATCCCAACCTAAGCTCTGATACCATGTTAACGTAGAAACGAATGATTACTAGAGGTGGAAACCTAGAACAAATACTAGTTGGTTGTACTCACTAGAAGCATACCTCAGTCTAGCCTATAACTTCTACAAAGATAATATGTATAAGTTGACACCGTACTACCCCGCCCATAAAGCTGCTGCTGGCGCAAAGTATTCGATGCATCCCATGCCTTCAATGGCCCCACGCTTGAAATGACCACCATATCCCTTCCACTTCCTACAAGCAATCTGCAAGGCATAGAAGGGGTGACAGTGAGTAGAATTCTCAGAGCTATGGCCAGAATATGCAAGAGCACACAAGCTACAGAGACAGGAAGGACCAGAACCACACTGACTCACCCTTTCTAGTAGCTCCCCTTGTAAATTACAAGCGGCGCCTTGTGCCTGCTGTCAAGTCGGCACATGATTCTAGCTCAGCCTCTCGGCTTGAAAGGGATCTGAGACAGGACGAACAGAAACCGGGAAGCAACAAAAGAAAATTCAAAAGGGAAAAGGAGCAGAGAAGGGGCACGTGTTACCTGAGGTGAGGTGGCACGCTAGCCCAGCTCCCTGGATCGTCCAGCGAGGGCCCTCGATCTGCCAAAAAGCGGGGCTTGGTCTGCTCAGGAGCACTGGGAGTGGCGGGTAAGTGAGGGGAGGAGGGAGGTAGATAGTAGATGAGGGAACAGTGAGAACTGCAGAAAAAGGGCTAAAAACCGTCCATGAAATCTAGGTAAAAATGAGTAGCATCAGGCAGAAGCCACAACAAGCAGACCAACAGCACATTGCACCAGTCATGGGTGCAGTTGTCACTTCACGAGTGCGCAAATTGTAACTCCACCAGCAGCATTGCAGCGGAACTGTGACTTCCGCTTCTTAGTCTTGTGAGGCGATGCAGTTCCCATACTCGAACACCCATGTGGGAAGGAGAACGATCAGACAAACACATACATCAGAAAAAAAAAGCTTGGTTAGAACCAGGAGGAGCGAGGCAGGGACTCGTGGAAAGCGAATGGGACTCGATGGCCTCTGCGCGGAGACACACTTACCTCGCCTAAAGGACCTACTCGCCCTCCCACCCCAGGTGAGCTGTACCAGCAGGCAGGGATGATGATGAGCTGCTCCTAACTTGGAGTGCGTCCACAGGTGTGTGCCCCTCCAGAGGACAACAACACAAACAGCACAAACAGCAGAAGGAGAGAGAGAAATATTGGTTAGAACCAGCAGGAGCAATTTAAGGACAAAAAAAGGAAGATGGGACTCCAGACGGCCTCTGCGCGGCGACATACGTACCTCGCCTAGGGACTTACTCGCCCCCCCACCAGGTATTTCCAGCACTCACCCAGGTGAGCTGTACCAGCAGGCAGGAATGATGAGCTTCTCCTAACTCGGAGAGCGTCCACAGGTGTGTGCTCCTCCAAATGACACCAAGAAAAACGATCACAAACAGAGAAAAAAGCAAGAAAGAAACAGGCAGAAAAACTGAGAGAGTTTGGTCAGAATCAGCAGGAGCGAGGTAAGGACTCATGGAAAGCAAACGAGACTCTAGAATGCCTCTGCGCGGCGACAAACTTACCTCACCTAGGGACCTACTCGCCCCCCCACCAGGTATTCCCAACACTTACCAGGTATGCTGTAGTAGTAGGCAAAGTCGTTGACTAGGTAACTCTGCAGTGCGTCCAGAGTTACGTCCCGAGGTACGTCTCAAGAGAGGTGCCTGATGCCCCTGGTACATCTTTTTTGGCCACGGAAGAGAGGTTTCAGCGCCTTGTACAAGGGAACAGAAGGGGAGAAGCGTCGACAAAAACGGGAAGCATTAGTACACGTGGAGAGTAAAGATTTGACAGAAAATAAGAGGCACCTAGACTCTCTATGCGGTCCTGTCCTAAACGCTTACAGAATCCCCCCAAGAGCTCTTGTAAGACGCATTACCTTGTTGGACGTCGAAGGACAGACAGCAGCTATCTGGTTGTCTTCACCGAACGGTCGTCAGCCGTCGTTAAAGCTTGAGTTAATCCAGAGGTCTCGTATTAGCCTGAGATGAAACAAAAACAGACAGCATTAGACCAACTGACGTCAATTTAACACGAAGACGGCGTAGATAAATCAAGACGAACCTTGTGTCTCAGGTGCCTATGCCATCGATTCTGAGCAGAATTGCGTCAGGAGCGAATCGCGGTAGATCGGGAAAACGCCAGGCGACGCTTCTAACGTCGATGGGAATCACCGTTGACAACGTCAGGCGATCTAAATACTAAGGGCTTAGGGCGAATCTAAGAATGAGCCGAAGTCAAGCTGACAGGCTCTCCGTTTCGTCATAAGTTCATCGACTACAGCGAGACATGAAAAGAGTAGGAACTCGCAAGCAGGGAGATTCCTGATCGTGAGAAACGGAAGACAGAAAGACTCCTGGTAGCTTGGATCAGGAAGGCAGGCAGGAGCGGAAGCTGCAGGCTTTCCTGGCGAGCGGAAGAGACCGAGAGAATGGGAGTTGGTTGGATGGACCCCGTCTGGCTGACCGACGGTGGGAGGGACCACCGCTGATGGGTTTTCCAAGAGCCGAGCGAAACCAAGCCTGGCGGCCAGCCCGTCGATCCCTGCGACGGCACGCGCGAAGGAGTTGTCTGACGGACCGCCATTGTGGTCTGGTCGATTCCGACGCAAGCCAGGCCAAGGTATGGCGGCAAAACGAGTCAGCCGAAACCTTTCAGCCAGTGCTCAAGCCTCCAGCAGCGTCCGGGGAGCCGTCTGACGGAGGGTCTTGGTGGTTCGGCAAGAACTGAACAGTTCAGGTTAGGAAGCGGACGAACCTGAGGCGGCACTGGTGAGCGACGGTTCAGGGAGCGCGGCTGAAGGAGCTTCTAGGTTCTGGTGGGGCGAGGCATGTGTGGATTGAAGCCTTGGGGTTGTCAAGGTGAATTTGGAGAGACGCTGGATGTGGTGTGAGGCGAAAACTGTGGTATTTCACGTTACCAGTTTGACGACGCGACGGAACGGATTGCAAGGAATGAGCGAGAATGTTACCTATTTCATGTCCTTTTGACACCCGCAATACTGGCGAGACGAGGGGATGTGGCTTGTGGCGACTGGTTTGCGAAACGGAACACTAACCAAAAGCCACCTGAAATGTAGCCCTCGAAAATAAGGCAAATGTTTCTCTACAGCGCAGTTGGTAGACTCCGTTGACGATGCAGCTCTGTGTCGCGGAAACGGGGATATGACGCGGAATTACTGAAAACCAGGTCACTTGGTGATTAGGTGGAGCTGAGCTGGTTCATTCCTCGGCTGCGGTTCACAGGAAAGTATCATCACTCTGCCGCGCTGGCGGAGTTTGTTGCCCATAAAACGAGTGACTGTGCTCAGGATGAAACTCTGCAGCCTTAACTGTAGTTGAGTTTTAAGTGCTGCCTCTTACGTCCCACTATCTCACGCTAATGTCACAAGATTGAGCTGAATGTTTAGCGCTTGCGAATGTAAAAGTCGACACGAAGATCGAAACAGCATACACTGCTGGTGGTCCAGCCAGTTTCGCTGCGTGTCATCCTGACCATCCCTGGCTCCACTCGGCTTGGGTCTCACCAAGAGAAGCCAGCCTGCCTGTTTCTGGTTCCTCTCATCTCTGCTCTTCGCGGAATGGATGGGAGATAAGAAAGAAATCCGAATTCATTTAGGCAATCCCTGAAGCAACAAAGCAGCTCCGAATCCCTGAGAGTGTTGCTTTTGCAATTGCACAGTCTCCGTTCATTCTACGACTTCTCTCCTGCTCATAACTGCTGCTATTGTTGCTTCACGTCATGGCGACGGTGCTCAGCCATGTTGCTGCTTCCTGCAAAGGCGTCGTCGCGTCGATGCCATCGCGAATTTCCGTTACGTGTTCCGACATCACCAAGACAACGCGGCTACATTTGAAGTCCTCCTTGCTATCCGCTCTCCCTCTTCGCAGCAATGCGACGAGCAGTAACACCTACCTTTCACGAAAGCACGTTACCGGAGTTCGCGCGATGGCGACGGAAAGCTCGTCGTCCATCGCATCAGCGGAGGTGTCAGAGGGGGACCACGGGGGTCTGAAGATCGGCTACCACACAGCGCAGGGCATACGCGAAAGCATGGAGGACCACCTGGTGGTGATTAAAGACATCCCGGGAGGCTTCCTCTACGCCGGCATCTTTGACGGCCATGCGGGAAGTGCCTCCGCGCGATTTCTGAAGTAAGACCTTCTGGAGCTCTCTCCGACGTCTTTTCCGCAGTCGTTCCACAGGCACTATCGTGTGTTTGATTTGTTTGTCCAAGACAGGACCCTTGGCTTCTTCACTTTTTGGCTTTATGCATTTCCGGTTCCACGTGAACATTCAAATGCCTTTTGTTGGCACAGTCTGACTACATTCACGCCTATTTTCTGACTCCCTTTGCTCGATGGTAGGGACGAGCTGTACATCGACTGCATGGACGCGTTAGAAGGAGGCGCGTTACTGTCGGACGAGGACCTCGACGCTGTGGAGGACGCTCTTCAGGACGCATTCATTCAGGCGGACCAGAGGCTGCTACAGTGGTGAGCTTGAGTGCAATATTGTTGACCACGGAAAAGGTATCTTATAGCGAGACTTGTAACGTGGACGGTGAAGGACGGCCTTCAGGACGCATTCATTCAGGCGGACCAGAGGCTGCTGCAGTGGTGAGCTTGAGTGCAGTGCTATTGACCACCGAATTCGTATCTTGTACCGAGACATATTGTAACGAGGGGGTGAAGGACGGCCTTCACGGCGCTTCATTCAGGCGGCCGTGGTGAGTGCTCTTGAACAGAGTGTCCACGTCTTGTACCGATGAGTGCGCCTGACCATATGCTGCTATGCGGAAAGCAAACGTGCTCACCCTGCTGGTGGACTCTCGAGATCCCCCTTTCCCACCCCCACCCGCTACCCCCCACGCACCCCCTCTCCTCCCCCCCCTCTCCCTCCCTCCCTTCCCCCCGCGCGCGCGAACGTGCACTGTTTGTGGTCAGGCTGGTGGAGCACAGCGAGGAGCCGGAATCGGGGTCCACAGGCACGGTGGCGTTTGTACGCAAGGACCGGCTCTTCATCGCGCACCTTGGGGACTCCAGAGCGGTGAGTGTTTCGCTGTGCTGGCCTTGGAACTGAAAGCACAGGGATTGGAGGCTTGAGGGCCCAGGTTTATTTCCCGGACTCGTGGCCGCCAAACTGAAAGCACATGGAGTGGAGGCTTGAGGGCCGCAGTTGGGCAACTGCGGTGGCGTTTGTTTCATGTGCAAGGACAGGCTCTTCAGAGCGGTGAGTGACGCGAATGCAGGTGCCGTTGGAGACTCCAGAGCGCTGAGTGACGCGAATGCAGGTGCCGTTGGAGTCAAATAGAGGGTCGTTCTGCAATGCAGGGGCTCAAGGGCTGTGAGGCGCGTGAATTGAGGTGCATCATAAGGAATCTCGATAAGGGTTATGAGGGGCTAAGAACGGTAGCCAGGGTCAGCAAGGACGGGGCTGTGTTGAGTTCATCCCCACGTTCTCCCACATATGGTATCTCCCCTGACCATCCCCTTCCCCACCCCCCCACGCTCCCCACCCCCCCCCCCCTGGTTCTTCTGTGCCCCTCCCTCGTGCTCTTACCCGCAGGTCCTGGGAGTGGGTGGTGACGCGGTGGACCTGACTCGGGACCACAAGACGCATGGGAAGTCACCAGCCCCTTTCCGCCATCCTACTAACCATTCCTTGTGCTCGTCTCCCCTCCCCTTACCCGCAGGTCCTGGGAGTGGGTGGTGACGCGGAGGACCTGTCTCGGGACCACAAGCCGCATGGGGAGTCACCCACTGCCAAGGCGGAGATCAAGAGGATTGAGAAGGCTGGCGGATGGGTGAGCAGGGGAGCCTTTGGCTGGTGTGGGATGGTTAGGAAGGGGGGTATGGGGTTGATGCAGAAGGTGGCGAAACGAAGGATAGCATGCGATGTGAAGTGGTGATGTGAACTGTAGGCATGCGATGGCAACTGCGTTGCAGGTCATATCAACTGGTATTCGTACGGTACAGTGGACTTCCATGGATGTTCACCCCTTGCCAATCGGTTTTTTGTGAATTGCTGGCCGTGTGTAAATAGCTGCTTATGTATACACTCTGGCTTTCTCCCTCTGCATGGCTTTCTCTCTCTCCATGATTGGTTGGCAGGTGAGTCAAGGCCGTGTGTGTGGAGTGGTGGCAGTCTCCCGTGCCTTTGGCAATGCCAACTTCAAGACTCGACGCGAGCAGTAAGTTGCTCACTTCTCCCGCTTCAGATCAGACTGTGCATTCGCCCACTTCAAATCTAGCCTCTGCTGCTTCAAGCAGTAAGGTCTGCTGCCTACACACAGTAAGCTTCGCATTGAGCTTCGCAGTGAATAACAAGCCATTATGCCACTCTGCAGACAGCCAGCCTTGTCATGGCCACACGACCCTCCCAGCCCTTCGTGTGACTTTCTTCTCCTCACCCTGTTGTCAACTCATACCCCTTTGCCACTCGCACCTGGTCACCACTTCCCCTCTCTACTGCCACCATTGCTGTGGAATCGGCAGGATGCTGTCTGAGGGGGTGAAGAAGGGGCGTTGGACAACGCGCTTCGTCTCCAAGTAAGTCTTGGGCTTAGGCTTCAGGGCGTTGTCTTTATGTATCTGTTTCTTGCCGCAGCCTCTCCTGTCTCACCTGCCTCATCATTGCCCACATTCGCATCGCTTCCACTCTCCTCACCATTGCACCTTCCCCGCCATTGACTCTTCAGGCGCTCGTTCGAGAGTGACTGGATCTCGGCTGTGCCGGATGTGTATGCAGCTGAGCTGGAAGACGACGCCGAATTTGTCATCATTGCGTCCGATGGGCTCTGGGACGGTGTGAAAAGGTGCGGAGCTCTTCTGGTCCTCTGGTCCCTTCTGGTCCCTTCTGGTCCCTTCTGGTCCCTTCTGGTCCCTGTCTACATCTCATTCCTGCTGCTTTTATGTCCCCCCCTCCAGTGTCTCTGTGCATCCTCCCCGCCGCTCTCTCATCTGCCGATTATCATTGAGGCATTTCTGCTGTCCGCCGCCTCAATCTGTGTGCATCTGTTCTGTTTTACAGCTCAGAGGCAGTGGCCTTTATTCGCAAGGAGATGGCAAGCCATGGAGACATTCAACAAGCAGCAGACAACCTCGCCCAATTTGCCCTTCAGGTATAGCGGTCATATCTTGGAAGAACCCTGTAGTCACCACCTAACATTCAGTCTGCAATTATAACCCCCATCTGAATCCCTTCTCTATACTTGTGCATAACAGGACCGGCAAGGTGATGACAACATCAGCATCATTGTCATTGGCCTCAAATGAGTTTCTGATCTACTAGGTCGAAGGACTTGCAATTGTTGTATTGCACTTGTTTTGTTTTAAGAATATTTGAAACAAGTATCTTTGCCGAAAACAAGAAACAAATTGAATGAAGCCGAGCCTGTGTTGGTACAGAAACACTACGGCGCGTACGCCTGAATGGGACAATCTCTAGGGGCCATTTTCCCAGGTCAGGCGTATTCATAAAGCTGATGACTCGAGATACGAGCGTGGTTCATGAATATCTGAGTCTGGACGTGGACCGTTCAGTACAGCAATAGGTTCCTCGGGAGGATTCAGGCAGCCCACCCGACACAAACGACATCGTCAATCGCGTAGGGACACCTGTACAATCTAGTGTCCTTTGCGATTCGAAAGGGGATCGATCTGCCAGCCTTTTTCTGCGTCGCTTCCTTATCCTTTCCCTTTCATCAGACGACAACCGCTTCTCGATATCAGGCATCGCTTCTTCCGTTTTGCGGGAATGCTCGTGTACGCCTTAGGACTCTGTATTCCGAACTGTGCGATTCGTTATTAGATTCTTCGCGCTGTACTTCCTTCGACAAGGCACATTGCCAAGGGGCACCCGAGACCGAAGGTGCGCGAAGGCTGACCGTGAAAGGAAAAACGGGAATTCGGGAGGGACATACCGCGAGTCGAGTTCTAGATTACGACGGCAAGAGGTACAGAGACGGTTAACGCCCGGTTCTAAGGCGCTTCGAAAACGGTTCAGGAACATCAGAGCGAGTGACGAAGGCTGAACAGCGGGTCGTGGGAAGAGGCTGGACGATAAGCGAGGGGTTGGGAGATGGCTGGCAAGGCGGATTCGGCGAAGCTATGCCTGGCGTTCAAATACTGCGTCGACCAAGTCAGGTTGTTCCCTGAGAGCCATGAGGTTTTCCCCATGCGACATGATCATCCATGCGACATGATCGTCCATGCGACATGATCGTCCATGCGACATGATCGTCCATGTGACATGATCGTCCACGAAACATGGTCATGAGCATCCATGACATGCCAGTGTACTAATCATGATGCGGCGATCCATGAGTCATGGCACACATTCTCCCACTGTTGCATTACATTGGAACATTGTACATGCAGGTTGATATGCGCAGGTTGGTTCATGTTCATGTGTTGGAACATTGTACATGACACACTTGATGGTTCATGTGTGCAGGTCGTGATGCATGCTGATTCTTGATGCATGCTGATACATGATGCATGCTGATTCTTGATGCATGCGGACGTATGCCACGTGATTCATGCCAAACACTCTCTCAATGCTGCAGGAAGCATGACATGGAGTGTTACATCAGATCAATGTCCATTATCATCATGACACAATGACACGTGGCCGTTTGTGATTTAAGAATCACACTACACTCACCCAATGCTACAGGAAGCATGACCTGGAACATTACATAGGAGCGCTGTACATGCCAGCAGAGCACAGGCCCACTCAATTCGCACTCAGAGCGTTCAATGTCGAGACCTCCCTGGTACGCCCTTTGCTCCATTGCCCCATTGCCTCGCTCTCCCCTGATGCTATGGTTTCCTAGCCCCATGACTCGCAGCACAGCAGGCACCCTCCCCCACGCCTCTCTCCATGGCACGGAGCTGTCAGGTGAATTTGGTGTCACCTGTCACCGTGTCACCATCTCCTCCACACCCTTGCCTGGTCTTTCCGCCGCTCTTTACTCTCTGCAAATTCCTGACAGCGCCTAGCAGATAGGGCTAACGGCAAGGCGTAATAACCCCCCCCTCTTACCCCTCTCCCTTCCTTACCCTCCCTCCAATTCCCTCAGATCCCTGACAGAGCCCGGGAGCAGCGCCTTGCAGTTATTCGCCTTGCATGGTGGAGAGATGCCCTCACACGCCTCTTCCAGGTACCACACCTTTCTTTCCTTCTTCGTTTTGTCCTTTTCTTTTCTTTCCTTTTCCCTGTTGCTGCTCGTTGCATCGATATTCGAGTGATGTAGTGCTCCTTGTATCAATATTCGAGTGGTGTAATGCTCCTTGTATCAATATTCGAGTGATGTAGTGCTCCTTGTATCAATATTCGAGTGGTGTAGTGCTCCTTGTATCAATATTCGAGTGATGTAGTGCTCCTTGTATCAATATTCGAGTGATGTAGTGCTCTTGTATCATATTCGAGTGATGTAGTGCTCCTTGTATCAATATTCGAGTGATGTAGTGCTCCTTGTATCAATATTCGAGTGGTGTAGTGCTCCTTGTATCAATATTCGAGTGGTGTAGTGGAGTGATTCCCCCTTCGCCCCTGCACTGCACGCATGAACGACCATCTCTGATTTTGCAGTGCCTTCCAAGCACACTCACGCAAACGCACTGGGGCGGACCATGCAGGATCATGCAAACCATGCAAACCATGCATGCAGAACCATGCAAACCATGCATGCAGGACCATGCAAACCATGCATGCAGGACCATGCAAACCATGCAAACCATGCAGGAGCATGCAAACCACGCAAACGTGCTGGCTATGGATCATACCCTCCATCAAGAATGTAGCGAACGCAGGTTGGAGCACCTGACCGTGCCAGTTCTCCCTCTCCCCCAACACGCCTACAGGGCCAGCCCCCAGAGGACCACCCGGTTCTGGTGGCGCTGGCAGCAGTGAAGGAGGCGAGGGGCATCAGGAAGCACTGGCTGCACCGAGTGATCGCAGCAAGGGTGTGTGTGCGTGCATTGAACCACGGCTGTGTTGGTGCAGTGAAGTGCATGTGTGTGCGTGTGCAGGCACAGGCTGTTTGCATGCCTGATCTGAAGTGTTGCCTTCTCGTTTGCCTTGCGCTGTCTCCTCCTCGTTGACTCCCTCCTCTGTGTGCCACGCATTGTCACTGCTCCTCTCTGTCTCGCCTTGGCCATCTCCTCCTTGTGAATAACCTTTGCTTTCTCCAATGTGCGTGGACCATACACTTGGCATCGTTGTCCGTCCTTTTTGCGTCAGATGGAGGACGTGGAACGGTCGGCCTTCCCCCCCAACACCATCGCAGATGTTGAACAGTGAGCCCTCACCACATTACCACCACATTACCACCACGTCACCGCCACATCACCACCACATCACCACCACATCACCACCACGTCACCGCCACATCACCACCACACCACCACCACATCACCACCACATCACCACCACATCACCACCACGTCACCACCACATCACCACCACATCACCGCCACATCACAGAACAGTTGCTGCTCAGTGAGCATGCAACCGTGGATACATTCTTGCACTTCCTTAACGATATAGACATATCAACCTGTCCTCTAATTTAGATCAACATATCATTCCCCTCTCACAACCCTCTTCTCCCCTGGTGACTCTTCCCACGTGCACACACATGCACACACATGCACACACATGCACACACATGCACACACATGCACACACATGCACGCAACAGGTACGCAGAGTCCACCTCTTCTGCGCTGCTCTACCTCTCCATGCAGGCGGCTGGCATCCACAGCGTGCAAGCTGACCATGCTGCCTCCCACATTGGTACGAGCACCTTCATTCCTATGCAACGTCGGTTCTCGAGGCGCTCTGCCATTTCACATCTCCTCAGGTGTGTTTTGAGTTTACTCAAAATACACTCGAGACGTTCTGCCATTTCACATCTCCTCAGGTCTAGTTGTTTGATGTGACAGACGGATTTGGAGGCCCAATAGTGGCTGGTGCAGATGCCCTCTTTGGGAATGGCTCTTCAACTGGCTGCCAGTTGCGCCACTCCCCTATCCTCAGCTCCCCTCCCCTTCTCCATCCTGACTTGTCTCCAGGCAAGGCGGAGGGAATGGCTCTGCTGCTGCGGGGTGCGTCGTACCATGCTGCTCAGATGTTGCTGCAAAGGTACCTTGTCAGTACAGTGTGCTGTGTGCAGTGGTGACACAATCCTGCTGCTCCAACAGTCCTTGTATCCCCTTCTCCCATGTTCTCCTTTGTCAATTCCTCACACCTCCTGTTAATAAATTTATATTTGCCCATCCCTCCTATCTATATTGCCGTTTCCCCCAAAATCCGAATGCCAGCATGGTTTGGTACACGAGGAGCTGTTTAGAGGGCGGCAGCCACCCAGCTTCAGGGAGTGCGTGTATGACGTGGCGTGTGTGGCACAGGCACATTTACAAAAGGCCAAAGCCTTACAGTCATCCTTGCCTCCTATTGCCCAACAACTGCTCCTCCCATCCGCTGTAAGTTGAGCATTTATGGCAAGTTTTATGGAAGTGAGGGTGTCAAGTTTATTAAGCTATTCTGTGGTCGTTGCGCAGGTTGGCGCTGACCTCTTCCTTCAAAACCTGCAGCGCCACCATTTTGATGCAATGGACCCATCACTTCTTCGAGGAGTGTGGGGAGTGACACCTCTATGGCTCCACTCAAATCTATTGTGGAGATCATTTCGAAAATCTTCCTTATAGCTTCGACTGACTTCAACTGGTGTACGGAGTAGCTGGGATGTGTTTGTGAAGACGCGCTGTAGTTCCAATCTTATTCGATACATGCCGTGATTGTTTATGTCGCCGCAGGTAGCATCTGGTGGAGCCGTTGGCGGTCGCTGAAAAAGCCGTTCTACCAACCCGCGGACTACACGTGGAAGTGACTTGTTTCAAAATTTGCGCCTGACATTGGCCTTGGGAACCGCGCGCATGGTCAATCCAGCACCCAATTCGAATTTCCCGACCGATCCGCGAAGCGACAACTTCTGTCGGTCCTGCGCTCAAATTCGCGCCTCAATTCAAATCAACCACAGCCCAGCCCATGCCAGGCCAGGCCAGCCCAGCCCAAATGATATGAACGACTCAAATCAGGAGGGGTTAGCGTAGACACGTAGACGTTAGCGCAAGCCTGATTGTTTCTCATGGCTTAGTGTCCGCCAGACATACACGACCGTCCAAAGCAGGCCGCGTTGTTACATTTCGAAATGTCCAGTTCCCGTTGAGGAGATCCGACGGAATAAAGCACGGCGTTCAGATATCCCGTGCGGCAGTCATTTCAGTGCGCCAACACTCCGTTGGCGAGGCCTCACCTCCGTAGTACGAACCATTCCCCCCCAGCATACTACTGACGCCGTCAGACAGCTTCCACTAGCATCCTAATAGTATCCCTTAGCTTCCTACCATCTCCCATCAGGTCAAAAGCATGGGCTCCCCGGAAAAGTCAGAGAGAAAAACTTCGGCCGCCCGACTGGCGTATCCGCCGCTGCTTCTCCTGCTGCTTGTCTCGTTAATAGCAGCCCCGACAGAAGCAATTCATCGCCCCCGCCGCCTCATGCGGAGCCTGGAAGCCATTCGCTCCGCTCTTCCCGCCGCACTCTCCGCTGACGTCACGGCGTCCCTCACATCTGAATTCCTGCCGTCAGCGAAGTCGTGGCACCCCGCGATCCGCCGGCTGATCACGGCGATCGGAGGTGCACCAGCCGCGTCAGCCGTAACCCCCAAGGCGAAAGGCGCTAACGTGGCACCCGGCGGCAAGGAACCTCCAACTGTCACTTCCGAGAAAATCGTGGGGAAAGGGGAGTCGGCGAGCGGCGACGGGAATAGCACACGCCAAGGTAACCCCGGACGCCAGGATAGCCCCGGGCGTCAAGGTAACCGCGCCGGGGGACGAGACAGCAAGGACTCGCACGGGAGCGGCGGCGATAGCAACGGCCATGGGCACAGGCAAGGCGGCCCTGGCGGCTGCTCCGGCGGCCATAACAGCGGCTCGCCCCCCGAGTGGGCCCCTCCCTCGCGCCCCTCCCCGTGCCCGCATCCACTCCCCGGCGATCACCCCCCCCCTCGCCTGTCGCCGCTCCCCGTCGCTTGCCCCGCGCGCCCCGCCATGTGCGACTTCTTCTTTGACGGCCTGACGGACGACTTGCCGGTCATCAGCCTGTCCGTTGACTTGATCGCCGCTAGCCGGCAAATTCCCATCGGCCCGTCGGCCATCGTCGCCATGGCCGGCGGATCCTTCGTGGATGTTTCGCGCGTGGAGGGGAGCTACTCTCGCGCCGTGTGTTTGGACAAGCCAGCGGAAAAGCCGGCGCCAGTCACGGCGATAGGAATGTGGCAGGGCAAGAGCGCGGAGGCTTCGCAGAAGCTTCTGCAGGAGCAGCTTATTCTGCCCCAGGGGATGTTTCAGCTGCGCGGGAACGGAGAGGTGCTGTATGGCGGTGCTGACGTGGCGGGCTGGGACAATTCCACGTGGCTGGCGGCGGCTGGGAGCCCCGAAGGCGTCACTGTGAGCGTGCAGATTGATGAGGCTACAGTAAACCTGTTTGGGGTCAATATCGAGCTTGACATTACCGAGGATGGATCGTCCACCTCGGAGAAGCACGAGGTCCCTGGCGCCGCGGCGCAGATGGCGCTGCTCGAAACATCCTCGTTAGTAACCGACCCGCCTGCCGTCTTCCCAGCAGCAGCGGAGAGTCAAACTCCACACAAGGAGCCGTCAGGGTGGCCTGAGCGCGAGCCAGCTCCCCCCAGGCGCCTAGCAGCAGAGGCGGAAGGCGCAAGTGGCGCGAGTGGCGCGAGTGGCGCTGGTGGCGCTGGAGATGACTCGGTGGATGGGGCGGCGGCGACCCAGTGGCAGGAGATGATGATGAATGCCGGGGTCGCGGCAATCCCTGAGGCTCGGCGGCCGGTGCTGCCGCTGGTGGCCGCTATAGCCACACCGGAAATAAGTGACGCCTCCCCTGCTAAAGCAGGTACCGCTGGTGCTGCTGCTGGTACTGCTGGTGCCGGTGGTGCTGCTGCTGCTAATTCTGGCGCAGGTGGCGATGAGGGGGAAAGTGCGGGCAATGTGGATTGGGTGGTGAAGCACAACTGGTTGAACCAAGCGGGCGCCAGTGCTGGGGATTCTGAGAAGGTCAATGCCAAGAATCCTGCTGGTAACGGTGCTGCTGGTAACGGTGCTGCTGGTAACGAAGCTGCTGGTAACGAAGCTGCTGGTAACGAAGCTGCTGGTAACGAAGCTGCTGGTAACGAAGCTGCTGGTAACGAAGCTGCTGGTAACGAAGCTGCTGGTAACGATGCTGCTGGTAACGGTGCTGCTGGTAATGGTATCACTGCTAATGGTGCTGCTAGTAAAGGTGCCGCTGGTAACGGTGCTGCTAGTAACGGTGCCGCTGGTAATGGTGCTGCTGGTAAAGGTGCCGCTGGTAATGGTGCTGCTGGTGATGGTGCTGCTGCTAACAGCACAGGGACGAGCAACACAACCAAGGGTACCGAGAGCAGCAGTAAAATTGCAGGTGACAAGCCAAGTGAAAACAATGGATCTACGGGTGGAAGCAGCAGTGGCAATAGCAGTGGTGGTGGCAGCAGCGAAGGTGCTGCGGGGGTCCCAGACCAGCAGCAGCATGATTCGGAGGAAAATAGCCGTTTCTACTTTCCCATGCACCGCCGGTGCATTTTATTCAGAGTCAAGATTGTTTGACCGGTGAAACCTTGTTATCTTGTTGCATGGGATGAGATCTTGGTGTCTCTCGCAACTACTATGCAGCGTTTTAAAAAATAAATATTCCATTTTGTGAAAATGTATCAAATGATTTCGATTTCTTAACCGCTTATTGCCATATTGAGAAGCTAAGAAGTTGTTAAATTTCGTTCTGTTCGATCTTCCCATTTAATCTGCCGTTAAATTTTCAGAGGCGAGGTCACAAACGCGTACCGATTGGACCTAGGGAACGCCGGAACGTGTTAGCACTAGTTGCTACTCTAATCCTTCCCCCTAGTTTACTCGTACCATATGTCCCAAAGTTGCCTCGCTCGAGCTTCCTACCTTCGGTTGGGAGTTTCCTAGGCGAGCTACTTGACAGCCAATCCCGATCTTCTACCCAACCAATCTTCCTACCGTTGAACTACTTGGCACGCGGGTTACGCATTAGAACTTGCAGCTGGCTTGAAGGTTTCCCGGTTTCGTAGAAAGACCGCTTTAGCTTGCAGACCACTGAACTGACGCCTAACCCTAAACTTTTCACCCTCGGTACTTTTCCTGACGAAGGTGATTTTTGTTAAGGTGCTCTCAAAAATCGCTTTAGCTTGCAGACCACTGAACTGATCGACTCAAAAGCGACTCTCACGCCTGACCCTAAACTTTTCACCCTCGGTACTTTTCCTGACGAAAGCGATGAAGGTTAAGGTGCTCTCGCGATCCGAGGAGCAGTTTACTCGCGAGCGATGCCAGGACGTGCAAGTGAGTCCCCTTATAACGGGTTCTCGGTTAGGGTTTTCAGTGAGCAAGCCAGGCGCGCAGCGAGCGACGGACACGGGCAAGTGCAGTGAGTGTAGACGGAGGAGAACCAGGGATAGCCCTCTATAGAAGAACGGACTGTAGTTCTTGTAGCGAGAAAATTCCCGTTCCCATTCCCGTTCTTGTAAGGAGAAATTCCCGCTCACCCCGCTCTCCCTACTCTCTCCGCTTTCCTCTCCGCACTCGCTCCACCCGTTCCCAGAAAGCGCATCGCAGCACCCAGAGCTGCACCCCGCAGGAGAAGGCTCAGGAGTGCCAGCGTGCGTTGAACGCATAATTTCGTACCAGGTTACCAGGTTACAATTTGATCATCACAAGTTGTCTGCAAGATTTTCTCGGTCTCCTTTCTCCTCCGTCCCTCCAACCCGTCCCCAGAAAGTGCATCGCAATCTCGACCCGGCTCTACACCCGCTGGAGACGACCAAGGAGTTCCAGCGCGCGCTCAACGCAGTCAAGCTCGATAAGGTCTTCGCCTCGATTACCCAAGATCACCCCCCCTCCTTTCCTCCCCCCCCTCCCCTCCCCCCCCTTCCCCCCCCTCTCCCCTCCCCCCCCCTTCCCCCCCCCTCTCCCCCACTCTCCCTTCGTCCCTCCACCCACGTCCAGAAAGTGCATCGCAACCTCGACCCGGCGCTGCACCCCTTAGAGAAGGCCAAGGAGTACCAGCGCGCGCTCAACGCAGTCAAGCTCGACAAGGTCTTCGCCAAGCCGTTCATGGGCGCGCTCGGGTCGCACGCGGACGGCGTCTCCGCCATGGCGCGCAGCCCCACGCGCCTCAACTGCGTCGTATCCGCCTCCATGGACGGAGGTGCGCGTGCGAGTGGACGAGTGGGTGGGGGCTGGATGTTAAACCCTACACCCTGCACCCTGCACCCTACACCCTGCACCCTGGGTCTTCGCCAAGCCGTTCATCGGCACACCAATGGGTCGCACGCCAACGGCGTCCCCGCCATGGCGCGCAGCCCCACGAGGCTGAACTGCGCTGTTTCGGCCTCTATGGGCTGATGTGCGTGGGTGTGGAATGAAACGCCTACATCGCTAAACCCGGAACCCAAAACCCTAGACCTTGCTCACTCATGGTTGCGCTCGGCAGCCACGCAGTCGGCGTCAGCACCATGGGGTTCAAAAACCTCCATCTTGAACCCCAGAACCCCGCGGTTTTATTCTCCTGAAACCCCTCAAACACTAAGTTATTAGTATTGCACACATAGAGTCCGGCTTGTTGTTTCACATCGTCGCCTGATCACTGTTTCCCGCCGCACATTCTCTCCCTCCCTCCCCGTTCCCACCCCCGTTGCTTCCATTCCTCGTGCCGTGCCCCATTCACCAGACGTGCGTCTATGGGACGTCCCTTACAAGTGAGTTCCCACAAGCGCTTCTGGCCGTTTCTGTACGTTTCTGGCCGTTTTTGTACGTTTCTGGCCGTTTCTGGCCGCTTCTGTACGTTTCTGTCCGTTCCTGTCCGTTTCTGTCCGTTCCTGACCGTTTATCAATATGCCTGGTCACATTGGAAACCAACCCAGTTCCCACATTGGAACGCTGTGTATGTGCATCTCTTCACGCATCTTCATCTCTCCTCTTGTCCCTTCCTTCTTTCTTTCCTCTTTTTTTTTTTTTTTTTTTTTTTTTTTTTTTTTTTCTGCACGACATGCGACCCCCTTCCCTGTTTCATGCGCCTGCAAATCACATTGGTGTCGCCCCCTACCCAACCCTTCTCATCGCTCCCCCACCCCCCCCCTCTACCCCTCCGACCCCTTCTCTCCTCTGTCCTAACCCCCCCCACCGTTCCTCTCGCCATCACGCCTCCCGTCCTCATCTTGCTCTGTGCGTTTCTGTGCTGCCAGGCGCACGCTGTGCCGGTTCACGGGGCACAGCAGGGCGGTGAGGGGCGGGTAGCTTTTCATCCTCCCCCTCACGCCTCCCGTCCCCATCTTGCTCTCTGTGCTTTTCCCCTCAGGCGCACGCTGTGCCGGTTCACCGGGCACAGCAGAGCAGTGAGGGGGGTGGCCATATCAGCCGATGGCGACACCATGCTCTCATGTGGGGACGACTGCACGTGAGTGTGCTTGTATGAGGGGACGACTGCACGTGAGTGTGCTTGTATGAGGGGCCGAGATGCCATCAACTACATGTGCTTTGGTATGAGAGGGCTGTCATGATTATGTGAGCGGCATGAATGCAGGGCAATGTGTGATTGGGGTATGCAGGGGTATGTGTGATTGGGGTATGCAGGGCAATGTGTGATTGGGGTATGCAGGGCAATGTGTGATTGGGGTATGCAGGGGTATGTGTGATTGGGGTATGCAGGGCAATGTGTGATTGGGGTATGCAGGGCAATGTGTGATTGGGGTATGCAGGGGTATGTGTGATTGGGGTATGCAGGGCAATGTGTGATTGGGGTATGCAGGGCAATGTGTGATTGGGGTATGCAGGGCAATGTGTGATTGGGGTATGCAGGGCAATGTGTGATTGGGGTATGCAGGGCAATGTGTGATTGGGGTATGCAGGGCAATGTGTGATTGGGGTATGCAGGGGTATGTGTGATTGGGGTATGCAGGGCAATGTGTGATTGGGGTATGCAGGGCAATGTGTGATTGGGGTATGCAGGGCAATGTGTGATTGGGGTATGCAGGGCAATGTGTGATTGGGGTATGCAGGGCAATGTGTGATTGGGGTATGCAGGGGTATGTGTGATTGGGGTATGCAGGGCAATGTGTGATTGGGGTATGCAGGGCAATGTGTGATTGGGGTATGCAGGGCAATGTGTGATTGGGGTATGCAGGGGTATGTGTGATTGGGGTATGCAGGGCAATGTGTGATTGGGGTATGCAGGGCAATGTGTGATTGGGGTATGCAGGGGTATGTGTGATTGGGGTATGCAGGGGTATGTGTGATTGGGGTATGCAGGGCAATGTGTGATTGGGGTATGCAGGGCAATGTGTGATTGGGGTATGCAGGGCAATGTGTGATTGGGGTATGCAGGGCAATGTGTGATTGGGGTATGCAGGGCAATGTGTGATTGGGGTATGCAGGGCAATGTGTGATTGGGGTATGCAGGGCAATGTGTGATTGGGGTATGCAGGGCAATGTGTGATTGGGGTATGCAGGGCAATGTGTGATTGGGGTATGCAGGGCAATGTGTGATTGGGGTATGCAGGGCAATGTGTGATTGGGGTATGCAGGGCAATGTGTGATTGGGGTATGCAGGGCAATGTGTGATTGGGGTATGCAGGGCAATGTGTGATTGGGGTATGCAGGGCAATGTGTGATTGGGGTATGCAGGGCAATGTGTGATTGGGGTATGCAGGGCAATGTGTGATTGGGGTATGCAGGGCAATGTGTGATTGGGGTATGCAGGGCAATGTGTGATTGGGGTATGCAGGGCAATGTGTGATTGGGGTATGCAGGGCAATGTGTGATTGGGGTATGCAGGGGTATGTGTGATTGGGGTATGCAGGGCAATGTGTGATTGGGGTATGCAGGGCAATGTGTGATTGGGGTATGCAGGGGTATGTGTGATTGGGGTATGCAGGGCAATGTGTGATTGGGGTATGCAGGGCAATGTGTGATTGGGGTATGCAGGGGTATGTGTGATTGGGGTATGCAGGGCAATGTGTGATTGGGGTATGCAGGGCAATGTGTGATTGGGGTATGCAGGGGTATGTGTGATTGGGGTATGCAGGGCAATGTGTGATTGGGGTATGCAGGGCAATGTGTGATTGGGGTATGCAGGGGTATGTGTGATTGGGGTATGCAGGGCAATGTGTGATTGGGGTATGCAGGGCAATGTGTGATTGGGGTATGCAGGGCAATGTGTGATTGGGGTATGCAGGGGTATGTGTGATTGGGGTATGCAGGGGTATGTGTGATTGGGGTATGCAGGGCAATGTGTGATTGGGGTATGCAGGGGTATGTGTGATTGGGGTATGCAGGGCAATGTGTGATTGGGGTATGCAGGGCAATGTGTGATTGGGGTATGCAGGGCAATGTGTGATTGGGGTATGCAGGGCAATGTGTGATTGGGGTATGCAGGGCAATGTGTGATTGGGGTATGCAGGGCAATGTGTGATTGGGGTATGCAGGGCAATGTGTGATTGGGGTATGCAGGGCAATGTGTGATTGGGGTATGCAGGGCAATGTGTGATTGGGGTATGCAGGGCAATGTGTGATTGGGGTATGCAGGGCAATGTGTGATTGGGGTATGCAGGGCAATGTGTGATTGGGGTATGCAGGGCAATGTGTGATTGGGGTATGCAGGGCAATGTGTGATTGGGGTATGCAGGGCAATGTGTGATTGGGGTATGCAGGGCAATGTGTGATTGGGGTATGCAGGGCAATGTGTGATTGGGGTATGCAGGGCAATGTGTGATTGGGGTATGCAGGGCAATGTGTGATTGGGGTATGCAGGGCAATGTGTGATTGGGGTATGCAGGGGTATGTGTGATTGGGGTATGCAGGGGTATGTGTGATTGGGGTATGCAGGGCAATGTGTGATTGGGGTATGCAGGGCAATGTGTGATTGGGGTATGCAGGGCAATGTGTGATTGGGGTATGCAGGGCAATGTGTGATTGGGGTATGCAGGGCAATGTGTGATTGGGGTATGCAGGGCAATGTGTGATTGGGGTATGCAGGGCAATGTGTGATTGGGGTATGCAGGGCAATGTGTGATTGGGGTATGCAGGGCAATGTGTGATTGGGGTATGCAGGGCAATGTGTGATTGGGGTATGCAGGGCAATGTGTGATTGGGGTATGCAGGGCAATGTGTGATTGGGGTATGCAGGGCAATGTGTGATTGGGGTATGCAGGGCAATGTGTGATTGGGGTATGCAGGGCAATGTGTGATTGGGGTATGCAGGGCAATGTGTGATTGGGGTATGCAGGGCAATGTGTGATTGGGGTATGCAGGGCAATGTGTGATTGGGGTATGCAGGGCAATGTGTGATTGGGGTATGCAGGGCAATGTGTGATTGGGGTATGCAGGGCAATGTGTGATTGGGGTATGCAGGGCAATGTGTGATTGGGGTATGCAGGGCAATGTGTGATTGGGGTATGCAGGGCAATGTGTGATTGGGGTATGCAGGGCAATGTGTGATTGGGGTATGCAGGGCAATGTGTGATTGGGGTATGCAGGGCAATGTGTGATTGGGGTATGCAGGGCAATGTGTGATTGGGGTATGCAGGGCAATGTGTGATTGGGGTATGCAGGGCAATGTGTGATTGGGGTATGCAGGGCAATGTGTGATTGGGGTATGCAGGGCAATGTGTGATTGGGGTATGCAGGGCAATGTGTGATTGGGGTATGCAGGGCAATGTGTGATTGGGGTATGCAGGGCAATGTGTGATTGGGGTATGCAGGGCAATGTGTGATTGGGGTATGCAGGGCAATGTGTGATTGGGGTATGCAGGGCAATGTGTGATTGGGGTATGCAGGGCAATGTGTGATTGGGGTATGCAGGGCAATGTGTGATTGGGGTATGCAGGGCAATGTGTGATTGGGGTATGCAGGGCAATGTGTGATTGGGGTATGCAGGGCAATGTGTGATTGGGGTATGCAGGGCAATGTGTGATTGGGGTATGCAGGGCAATGTGTGATTGGGGTATGCAGGGCAATGTGTGATTGGGGTATGCAGGGCAATGTGTGATTGGGGTATGCAGGGCAATGTGTGATTGGGGTATGCAGGGCAATGTGTGATTGGGGTATGCAGGGCAATGTGTGATTGGGGTATGCAGGGCAATGTGTGATTGGGGTATGCAGGGCAATGTGTGATTGGGGTATGCAGGGCAATGTGTGATTGGGGTATGCAGGGCAATGTGTGATTGGGGTATGCAGGGCAATGTGTGATTGGGGTATGCAGGGCAATGTGTGATTGGGGTATGCAGGGCAATGTGTGATTGGGGTATGCAGGGCAATGTGTGATTGGGGTATGCAGGGCAATGTGTGATTGGGGTATGCAGGGCAATGTGTGATTGGGGTATGCAGGGCAATGTGTGATTGGGGTATGCAGGGCAATGTGTGATTGGGGTATGCAGGGCAATGTGTGATTGGGGTATGCAGGGCAATGTGTGATTGGGGTATGCAGGGCAATGTGTGATTGGGGTATGCAGGGCAATGTGTGATTGGGGTATGCAGGGCAATGTGTGATTGGGGTATGCAGGGCAATGTGTGATTGGGGTATGCAGGGCAATGTGTGATTGGGGTATGCAGGGCAATGTGTGATTGGGGTATGCAGGGCAATGTGTGATTGGGGTATGCAGGGCAATGTGTGATTGGGGTATGCAGGGCAATGTGTGATTGGGGTATGCAGGGCAATGTGTGATTGGGGTATGCAGGGCAATGTGTGATTGGGGTATGCAGGGCAATGTGTGATTGGGGTATGCAGGGCAATGTGTGATTGGGGTATGCAGGGCAATGTGTGATTGGGGTATGCAGGGCAATGTGTGATTGGGGTATGCAGGGCAATGTGTGATTGGGGTATGCAGGGCAATGTGTGATTGGGGTATGCAGGGCAATGTGTGATTGGGGTATGCAGGGCAATGTGTGATTGGGGTATGCAGGGCAATGTGTGATTGGGGTATGCAGGGCAATGTGTGATTGGGGTATGCAGGGCAATGTGTGATTGGGGTATGCAGGGCAATGTGTGATTGGGGTATGCAGGGCAATGTGTGATTGGGGTATGCAGGGCAATGTGTGATTGGGGTATGCAGGGCAATGTGTGATTGGGGTATGCAGGGCAATGTGTGATTGGGGTATGCAGGGCAATGTGTGATTGGGGTATGCAGGGCAATGTGTGATTGGGGTATGCAGGGCAATGTGTGATTGGGGTATGCAGGGCAATGTGTGATTGGGGTATGCAGGGCAATGTGTGATTGGGGTATGCAGGGCAATGTGTGATTGGGGTATGCAGGGCAATGTGTGATTGGGGTATGCAGGGCAATGTGTGATTGGGGTATGCAGGGCAATGTGTGATTGGGGTATGCAGGGCAATGTGTGATTGGGGTATGCAGGGCAATGTGTGATTGGGGTATGCAGGGCAATGTGTGATTGGGGTATGCAGGGCAATGTGTGATTGGGGTATGCAGGGCAATGTGTGATTGGGGTATGCAGGGCAATGTGTGATTGGGGTATGCAGGGCAATGTGTGATTGGGGTATGCAGGGCAATGTGTGATTGGGGTATGCAGGGCAATGTGTGATTGGGGTATGCAGGGCAATGTGTGATTGGGGTATGCAGGGCAATGTGTGATTGGGGTATGCAGGGCAATGTGTGATTGGGGTATGCAGGGCAATGTGTGATTGGGGTATGCAGGGCAATGTGTGATTGGGGTATGCAGGGCAATGTGTGATTGGGGTATGCAGGGCAATGTGTGATTGGGGTATGCAGGGCAATGTGTGATTGGGGTATGCAGGGCAATGTGTGATTGGGGTATGCAGGGCAATGTGTGATTGGGGTATGCAGGGCAATGTGTGATTGGGGTATGCAGGGGTATGTGTGATTGGGGTATGCAGGGCAATGTGTGATTGGGGTATGCAGGGCAATGTGTGATTGGGGTATGCAGGGCAATGTGTGATTGGGGTATGCAGGGCAATGTGTGATTGGGGTATGCAGGGCAATGTGTGATTGGGGTATGCAGGGCAATGTGTGATTGGGGTATGCAGGGCAATGTGTGATTGGGGTATGCAGGGCAATGTGTGATTGGGGTATGCAGGGCAATGTGTGATTGGGGTATGCAGGGCAATGTGTGATTGGGGTATGCAGGGCAATGTGTGATTGGGGTATGCAGGGCAATGTGTGATTGGGGTATGCAGGGCAATGTGTGATTGGGGTATGCAGGGCAATGTGTGATTGGGGTATGCAGGGCAATGTGTGATTGGGGTATGCAGGGCAATGTGTGATTGGGGTATGCAGGGCAATGTGTGATTGGGGTATGCAGGGCAATGTGTGATTGGGGTATGCAGGGCAATGTGTGATTGGGGTATGCAGGGCAATGTGTGATTGGGGTATGCAGGGCAATGTGTGATTGGGGTATGCAGGGCAATGTGTGATTGGGGTATGCAGGGCAATGTGTGATTGGGGTATGCAGGGCAATGTGTGATTGGGGTATGCAGGGCAATGTGTGATTGGGGTATGCAGGGCAATGTGTGATTGGGGTATGCAGGGCAATGTGTGATTGGGGTATGCAGGGCAATGTGTGATTGGGGTATGCAGGGCAATGTGTGATTGGGGTATGCAGGGCAATGTGTGATTGGGGTATGCAGGGCAATGTGTGATTGGGGTATGCAGGGCAATGTGTGATTGGGGTATGCAGGGCAATGTGTGATTGGGGTATGCAGGGCAATGTGTGATTGGGGTATGCAGGGCAATGTGTGATTGGGGTATGCAGGGCAATGTGTGATTGGGGTATGCAGGGCAATGTGTGATTGGGGTATGCAGGGCAATGTGTGATTGGGGTATGCAGGGCAATGTGTGATTGGGGTATGCAGGGCAATGTGTGATTGGGGTATGCAGGGCAATGTGTGATTGGGGTATGCAGGGCAATGTGTGATTGGGGTATGCAGGGCAATGTGTGATTGGGGTATGCAGGGCAATGTGTGATTGGGGTATGCAGGGCAATGTGTGATTGGGGTATGCAGGGCAATGTGTGATTGGGGTATGCAGGGCAATGTGTGATTGGGGTATGCAGGGCAATGTGTGATTGGGGTATGCAGGGCAATGTGTGATTGGGGTATGCAGGGCAATGTGTGATTGGGGTATGCAGGGCAATGTGTGATTGGGGTATGCAGGGCAATGTGTGATTGGGGTATGCAGGGCAATGTGTGATTGGGGTATGCAGGGCAATGTGTGATTGGGGTATGCAGGGCAATGTGTGATTGGGGTATGCAGGGCAATGTGTGATTGGGGTATGCAGGGCAATGTGTGATTGGGGTATGCAGGGCAATGTGTGATTGGGGTATGCAGGGCAATGTGTGATTGGGGTATGCAGGGCAATGTGTGATTGGGGTATGCAGGGCAATGTGTGATTGGGGTATGCAGGGCAATGTGTGATTGGGGTATGCAGGGCAATGTGTGATTGGGGTATGCAGGGCAATGTGTGATTGGGGTATGCAGGGCAATGTGTGATTGGGGTATGCAGGGATGTGTGATTGGGGTATGCAGGGGTATGTGTGATTGGGGTATGCAGGGCAATGTGTGATTGGGGTATGCAGGGCAATGTGTGATTGGGGTATGCAGGGCAATGTGTGATTGGGGTATGCAGGGCAATGTGTGATTGGGGTATGCAGGGCAATGTGTGATTGGGGTATGCAGGGCAATGTGTGATTGGGGTATGCAGGGCAATGTGTGATTGGGGTATGCAGGGCAATGTGTGATTGGGGTATGCAGGGCAATGTGTGATTGGGGTATGCAGGGCAATGTGTGATTGGGGTATGCAGGGCAATGTGTGATTGGGGTATGCAGGGCAATGTGTGATTGGGGTATGCAGGGCAATGTGTGATTGGGGTATGCAGGGCAATGTGTGATTGGGGTATGCAGAGGGTGGATGTCTACCCCTGCATCCACCCTGACAAGGCACAGACTCCAACTGTTCCAACGGACAAAAATAGACTCCTCACGCAAGGCACAGACTTTTCAGGCGCCTCAAAAGTCGCAAGGCACAGACTCCAACTGTTTCTCCGTGGCAAAATGATCACCACTGTGTTTATGACTGTGATTGTGACTATGCTTGTGACTGTGCTTTCTGAAATCATGCTGCACCGTCGTGTTCTTGTATCGGTGCCATGAATACCCGCTCTGCCACCGAGCGCGTCTGTGGCAGCTGCCAGCGCCGGAGATAAAAGGAGTTGGCGGCGGAGGGAGGGGAGGTGGGATGCTCACATGTCGCCCTGTGCTGCTGCTGTTGCCCTGAGCGCCCCTTCTTCTCTTCTCCCCACTCCTGTCCCCCCACAGAGTGCGGTTGTGGCAGCTGCCAGCGCCAGAGATAAAGGAGTTGGTGGTGGAGGGAGGGGAGGAGGAGCACGAGGCTGTTGCCACCTTCCAGGGAAAAAACGCCTTCAGGTGAGACTTGGGGTTTTAGGCTGGGTGTGTGTGTCAGGGAGTTTCGCAGCTACGTGCTTGCACCAACAGGGGCGCAGGTGGGTGTGACTCTTGAGTCATCGCGCGCGCACAACCCAACGTGTGCCATAAATGGAAGGGACGCGTGTTTGCAACGGCAGGCACGCTGGTGGCCGTGTGGGAGGGAGCGCCCTCAGATGCCCCTCAGAGCGCCCTCAGATGTCCCTCAGAGCGCCCTCAGATGTCCCTCAGAGCGCCCTCAGATGTCCCTCAGAGCGCCCTCAGATGTCCCTCAGAGCGCCCTCAGATGTCCCTCAGAGCGCCCTCCGATGTTCCTCAGAGCGCCCTCCGATGTTCCCTGCCTCAAAAGAGGAGGGTCAAAAGTGGAGCGCCGTCAGATGTTGCTCTTTTGAGGTGCCTAAAACACAGGGGCTGGTCACAGAGCAGTGGACCATAAGGGGCGCGTGTTTGCAACAGCGGGGGCGTAGGTGGACGTGTGGAAGCACTCTGAACCATCCCGTCTTTCCCCTCTCCCCTCTCTCGTGTTGCACGTGCCATGTGCGCAAAGCAGTGCACCACAAATGGAAGGGGCGCGTGTTTGCGACAGCAGGGGCGCAGGTGGACGTGTGGGAGCACTCTCAACCATCCCCTCTTTCCCCTCTCTCCCCTCTTTCCCCGCTCTCCCCGTTGCACACTCTGCATGTGCAGAGCAGTGGATCATAAATGGAAGGGGCGCGTGTTTGCAACGGCAGGAGCACAGGTGGACGTGTGGGAGCACTCTCGCTCCGACCCCATTTCCACGTTCACATGGGGCGCTGACTCCGTGTACTCTGTGCGATTTAACCCCGCCGAGCCTGAAGTGTTTGCCACCACTGGCAGGTAACTAAGCAAACAGGTGATTAGGCAAACAGGGAAGTGGGAGGGAGGGGTGCACGTTGGGCGCAGCTGCACGTGTGCAAGCACACTCGTTGGGCGCAGGTGCACGTGTGGGAGCACACAGGTTCCGACCCCATTGCACGTTCACCTGGGGTGCTGACTCCGTGTACTCTGTTTGCTTCAACCCCGCTGAACCTGAAGTGTTTGCCACCACTGGCAGGTGAGTGAGTAAACAGGTGATAAGGTGGGCCGGTAGGAAGGTCAACCGGGGGTGTGCGTGTTGCTGCAGGTTGCTGCAGGTGCACGTGTGGGCTGAGCTAGGCTTTTGAGAATTCTAAAAAACCTAACTCTGGACGTGCGGGTGGGAGCACACTCGCTCTGACCCCATCGCCACTTTCACATGGGCCGCTGACTCCGTTTACTCTCTGTGATTTAACTGTTCGCCACCACTGGCAGGTGAGAGTGACAAGCCAATTGTTATTCTGTCTTGCCACAACACTCCTTTAACCTCTTCCGGCGACCTTTATTCCCCCGCTTATGCCTTTTCTTCTTCTTATCGGTTTTTGTTCCCTTTGGGGCTACTCCTGTGTTATCAGTGATTGGAGCATATGCCTGTATGACCTCCGCTCCAGATGTCCCACCCCTGCTCCTCTGCCTTTCCCCGCCTTACTCCATTCCCCTCTCGCCCCCTCTCCACTCTTATCAGGTGACTTTTGAGTGGTCGACTCAAAATTCACCTCATGCCCCTCTCGCCCCCCCTCCACTCTTATCAGTGATCGGAGCATATGCCTGTATGACCTCCGCATGTCCACCCCCCTGAGAAAAGTGATTATGCAGGTGAGGCGAAGGGGGATGGTGGGGGGAGGGATGGGGGATTGTGGTTGCGGGGTTGCTGGTGAAGTAGTGGTGAAGGAGCGGTGAAGGAGTGGTGAAGGAGTGGTGAAGGAGTGGTGAAGGAGTGGTGAAGGAGTGGTGAAGGAGTGGTGAAGGAGTGGTGAAGGAGTGGTGAAGGAGTGGTGAAGGAGTGGTGAAGGAGTGGTGAAGGAGTGGTGAAGGAGTGGTGAAGGAGTGGTGAAGGAGTGGTGAAGGAGTGGTGAAGGAGTGGTGAAGGAGTGGTGAAGGAGTGGTGAAGGGATACCAGTGCGAGGAGGACAATGCCTGTATGACCTCCGGATGTCCACCCCCCTGAGAAAAGTGATCATGCACGTAAGGTGGAGGGGGGATGGTGGGGAGCTGGTGGGGGGTTGCTGGCGAGGAAGTGCTGACGGTGCCGTGATGGTGAAGGGGGTTGGTTTATGACCTCCAGATAGGGCTCCGCTAACAAAAGTGATCAAGCAGATAGGGTGAAGGGGGTTGGTTTATGACCTCCAGATATGGCTCCGCTAACAAAAGTGATCATGCAGATAGGGTGAAGGGGGTTGGTTTATGACCTCCAGGTAGAAAGGGTGAAGGGGGTGAAGGGTTAACCATGATGGTAAAATGCGTTGCGAGGCAGCGGTTCTGAGTTCGAGCTCGAGCTTAAAGAATGAACAGTAGGTTTGATTAAAACCAGGATGAACTAGTTTCGGCTTAAAAAAGCCTTCATCAGCATCTGCTGAACACCCAAAGCATTCGAGCTGTTTATGTAGGAAAAGCGCGACCCGAGAAATTCTTGAGGGGTCCTGATCAGGGGTCCTGAAGCCCGGCTATAAACTAGACCAGTGTAACAAAATGAAAACACTATTCTAGCATTTCTTAGCCGCGACTATAAAATCCTTGATCTTCTTCGGTAATTTCCATGCTATCAAAGCACGTTTCCCCTTGAATAAGCCGTGTGTCAGCTTGTCCAGGTGTATTTTGAGTCGACTCAAAATACAAAAGTGATCATGCAGATAGGGTGAAGGGGGTTGGTTTATGACCTCCAGATAGGAAGGGTGAAGGGGGTGATGAGGGAAGGGTGAAGGGGGTGATGAGGGAAGGGTCAAGGGGGTGATGAGGGAAGGGTCAAGGGGGTGATGAGGGAAGGGTCTCCTGCGTCCTGCCTTCCATTCTCTCCTGCGATTTCTCGTCTCTCTTCTGAATGTCTTCCACTCTAATCACTGACCTGTTTGAGCCATGGAAAAACACTCTCCCCCCCACCTTCCCTCCCCCATTCCCCCCACCTTCCCCCCCACCTTCCCTCCCCCCTTTCCCCCCACCTTCCCTCCCCCCTCCCCCCCCCCCCCTTTTCCCCCCCCTTCCCTCCCCCCTCCGCCCCTCCCCCTAGACCAAGACCAACTCCCTGGCATGGAACCCACGAGAGCCGCTCAATTTTACTGCTGTGAGTCATGGGGTGGGGGGTGCTGTGGTGATGCATGATTCTTAGTGCCGAGCAAGCCGTTCCTCTCCTCTGCTGCCATGCTGTCGCCCGCATGCACTTCCTCGTCCGGCCTGCCCGTATCTCACTGCAACCATACCAGGCCAACGAGAATGGCAGCTGCTACTCGTACGGCATGCACAACGTCAGCACCTCCCATCCTGCCTTCCCATCCTAGTGCCAAGCTCTCTAAGCCGTTCCTCTCCTCTGCTGCTATGCTGTCGACCGCATGCACATCCTCATCCTGCCTGCCCGTATCCCACTGCGTTCACCTGTCAGGCCAACGAGAATGGCAGCTGCTACTCGTACGACATGCGCAACCTCAGCACGGCATCGCTTGTGCACAAGGACCATGTGTCCGCTGTGTGAGTGCCTGTGCTGTGTGAGTGCTTTGTGGGTGGCATGGGTCAGGGCATGCGTGTGTGTAAGTGTCTAAGCTGTGCGTCAGCACCGGCTCGCTGACACAGCACAAGGACACAGCCGGCATGCACAAGAACCACGTGTCTGCTGTGTGAGTGGTGGTACTCTCTGTGGTTAGCTTGATTGCAAGTGTCACGAGTGTCTACTCTATAACTCGGCAGGCACAGCATGGCTGTTTGAGTGGCGTGGGCGACTATAGGTTTCAAGCAACTGCCTGGCACCATTAGATGGCATCGCTTCCACCTCTGTGCTTTGAGTCCACTCTTGCTGTGATCGACTCTTGCCGGGTGCTCTAGACGCATTCATTTAAGCACTCCTCTCATCCTCCCCTCCTCGTCCTCTCAACCGCCAGCATGGACATCGACTACTCGCCCACGGGCCGGGAGTTTGTGACGGGGTCGTACGATCGCACGGTGCGCATATTCCCGTTCGACGGCATCAAGAGCCGCGAGGTCTACCACACCAAGCGCATGCAGCGGTGAGGGAATGTCCTCTTTCCTTGCATACTCCCACGTATCACCATTGCGAGTCACTGGCTGCAGCTTCCCTCGCCGCTTGCCTCCCGTCTCCGTACGTTCACTCACGTCCGTGAGTGTGTCTGGTCGCCGGTGATCCTATCTCTTGCCGGCTCTACTGCGTCCGTACCCCTACCGCCATCAGATCAGGGTGGTCTGTGTGTTGTTCAGTGGCGACGGCTCCTGTGTACGGTCCGGACGTGACGACGCGAACATTCACTGCCATCCCCCTCCCCTGTCCCTCCTCCCCTCCTCCCTCCCCTCAGAGTGTTCTGTGTGCGCTTCAGCGGAGACGGCTCGTACGTGCTGTCTGGCAGTGACGACGCCAACATCCGCCTGTGGAAGGCGCAGGCGTCGCAACAGCTGGGCGTGCAGGTGAGCTTGCATGTGTTGCAGATGTGAGTAGGTCTAGGTCTAGCCGCCAACATGTCTGCTCCCACTTCCTTTCCCTGCACACCCTCTCCCTGCCCTGCCTGCCTGCCTGCTCAGTGCTCACTCGCGCTGCGTTTGCCTGCCATGTATCCTGGTCGCTGGGCACACGAGTGCAGGTGAAGCGCGAGAAGCGCCGCGCCGAGTACAACGCGGCCCTGGTGGAGCGGCACCAGCACCTGCCAGAGATCCGCCGCATCCACAAGTGCGTCATGGAGGGGGGTAGGGGGGTAGGGGGATTAAGGGGGGTTCACGGTGCTGTGTGGTTGGGTAAGGGCATGGTGGAGCGCCACCAGCACCTGCCGGGGATCCGCCGCATCCACAAGTGCGTGTATCAGGTGGCTATGGGGGATTGGGGGGGGTTTAGAGTGGTTTGTGGGGTTGGGTGAGAGTGTGGCATGGATAGGGAGTGCGATGGTGGGCCGGCACCAGCACCTGCCGGAGATACGCCGCATCCACACGTGAGATGCAGAGGGGGAGAGGTGATTTGATCAGGGTGCTCTGTGGGGGTGTGTGAGGGCATAGCATGGCTGGCAGCTCTGGGGCGTGCTATGTGGGAGGGGCACCAGCACCTGCCGGAGATACGCCGCATCCACAGGTGCGTTGCAGAGGGGGCTAGGGGGGTTTTGGGGGGCTTTGGGGGGCTTTGGAGGGTTAGGGGGGTTCAGGGGGTTCAGGGTGCTGTGTGATGGTGTGGCGTGACTGGGGAGTGCGATGGTGGAGACGCACCAGCACCTGCCGGAGATAACTTTTGAGTCGACTCAAAAGAGATACACCGCATCCCCAATTGTGTGGACGGGGGCTAGGGGGTGTTGCATGGCATTTTTGTGCCTAGGAACATTGCTCTTGCATGTCGTTGTCCCAGGTATTCATGTTCATCTCTCCTCTCACCTTTCCCCTCTCCCCTCCTTCCCCTCTCTCCCTCCCCTCCGCTCTCGTCCCCCGTGCGCATTGTGACAGGCACCGGCATGTGCCCCGGCCCATTCACAATGCCATCAAGCTGCGAGCCACCATGGTGGCAGCCGAGAAGCGTAAGGAGGAGAACAGACAACGGTTCAAGAAGAAGAGCAAGGGGGTCACGAAGAAGAACGAAGATAAGAAAAAGAGCGAGCGCCGGAATAAGATCATTGCTGAGCTGGAGTAGGTGCATTGGCGGATTTGTTATGATCCACATGTCTATGTCTTGATTTCATTCATCCTTTTCAGCTGCATATTAAAATTATCGCGTGTACCGGAGCAGTCTATAAGAGCTATGACCATCCCCAATGGTTTTCCCGCGTTTTTTCTAACGTGAGTGTCAGACGCGCGAATTGTCTTCAAATGGAATCCTCCGAGGCGGTTGCCAGCCACAGCCAGGACAACCGAAACAAATGACTGAAACCGATCCAGACCGATGCAAGCCGATCCTGTTCAAGGTGTGCTAGGTGTTGATCATTATGTGCCGATTACAGCCCAACGAGCTTCAGGAGGAATGAGAAGAATGGCTGCTTCTGTAGGACAGTTGGTCTCGAATATCCATGCGATTGGCTGCGGGCTAGTGAAGAGCTGACGTGCGAATCTTATAAGAGCGAGGTGCGAAGCATTTCTAGGGAGCTCCAAACTGGGAAAGGATAGATGTGACAATTTCGGGAGCTGAGCTTGCTACTACTTGCCTCGTAATGGTTGTCGTTTTAGCTGTCCGTCGAGGGATCGCGCGGCAGCAGTCGATTAAGTTGCCCCCAAGAGGCCTTAGGAATCTCGGCTGGAGCCCTCTTCCCGAAGCGGCGAGTACTTTTTTCAATCAGAGCCTTCAAAAGCGTGTTTTGCCACGCCAGACTAGTGTTTCCGAGGAATCTTGTAACGGGGATGCGACGCTAGTCCCGCCGTTCGGTGCGGACGAGCCGACCCGCGACGATCACCCCCGCTGTTTTCACCCTCGCTTCTGTCACTCGCAATCGCGTGCACGCGAGGGATTTAGATCCCCCATACAATATAGTTCGTTTGAATCACAGACCGTTCGGCGGCTCATTCACAACGGGGGTGGCGGAAGCGATGGGGGGAGAGTGAGCGGGGGAAGCGGGGGGGCCACGGGGAGCCAGGGGAGCGGAGGTGGGGGAAGTGGCGGAAGCGGTGGCAACGGGGGGAGTGGGGAGAATGCGGGTGGCGGAAGCAGTGGGGGCAATAGCTGCGGTCGGCAAGTGATGGCTCCCCGCACCCCTCAGCAATACTTTGACCTGCTGTGCTCAGGTAACACCTCCCCCTGCTGTGCTCGGGTTATGCCTCCCCCGGCTGTGCCCGAGTTGAGATTTTCAGGTGCGACGAAAATAGATCCTTCGCTTCTGTCGTTACCTATCTCCTGATCTCCCGTTTTCGCACCGTTTTCGCACCGTTTTCGCAGCACTCCCCCATCCCCATCCCCTCTCCTAATCCTCTCCTCTTCGCCTCTTCCCCATCCCCATCGCCTTTCCTGTTGGCTTCGCCCTTCCTCTTCCACAGGGCAGTCTTGCCGCGTGTGTGAATCGGAGGAGAAGGGCAGAGCGGTGGTGGCAACGAGGGGCATAGCAGAGGGGGAAGCTGTGCTGGCGACCGCCCCTGTGGTGTCACACCCCACACTGGACCATGTTGGCAAGGTGGGCTGTGAGGCATGTGGGATCATGCTGGATGGGTAGCGATGGTTTGACTTTTGAGTCGACTCAAAAGTCTCTGGATGGGTAGCGATGGTTTGTCGCAGCAAGGATAGGAGAGAGGGAGGTGGTGCTGCCTGTGGTGTCACACCCCACAATGGAACACGCTGGGAAGGTGGGCTGGAGGTGACGCCATGGGTGCGACACCTTATCATCTTTGCACTCACCACCACCACCACCACCACCACCTCCACCCCCTCGCGCTGTCCCACCCTGCCACTGCTGCCACCAGGTGTGCTGCCTGTGCCTGGGACCACTAGCGGCCAGCCGACAAACCACAGGGGAGAGAGACGGAGAAGGCACGTGGCGGGGTATGGAGGAGGGAACTTTGGGGCGGGGGAGGGAGGGGGAGGAGGCGGAAGGGGAACGGAGATGCGACTATGGGGAAGAGAACGGTTATGATGAGCGGCTTTTCTGCAGCAAAGAGTGTGCTGACGTGGCATGGGTGAGTGTACCGTCCCAAGCACACGCGCACGTGCGCCTGTGCACGCACATACAGAATCTGCGCATGCGCATTCTGCCGTGTATGCACTTCTCCCACAGTGCAATGGTGCTTAGTGGAATAACCCACTTGCCTTTGATTAACTTGGCTCTCAGCGCCTCAATGCTGCCCTTGAAGGGCATAACTTCAAGGTGGCGCACCCCTCTGCACGAGTGAGATGGCAGCGGTGCACACGATGCTTGGCCATGTGTCCACTGCCATCTCGCTCGTGCTCACCCCTCTGTGCTGCATGTCTTGTGCACCGCTTGCCCTTCCTCGCCCGCTCACTTCTCCTTGTCTCAGGATGCTTTCTATGCTGTTGAAAGAGCAGCTGATTGGTCCGAACTGCACCAACACTGCAGGTAAGCCATTCTAGGGCCGACTGAGCCGGCCGTTTGCCCTTATTGACTCAGCACCAACGCTCCTTTCTGCCTCTCATCCACTCGCAAGGCATGCTTCCCGCTGGTGGCCATTCTTTTAGGTGCCTCAAAAATCGTCTCATTTTGAGGCGCCTCAAAAATCATCCACTCGCACGGCATGCATGGTGCTGGCGTGCTTCCCCCTGGTGGCCAAGCGCCTGGCGTGTATGATGCTGGCTGGAGGTGCTTCTGCTGTTGATGCTGCATCCATCCCCCTTCCCAACCTTTCCCCTCCCCTCCCTCTCCCGATAGCAGAACCCACTCCCTGCGCTTCCCTCTGGTGGCCAAGCGCCTGGCGTGTATGGTGCTGGCTGGAGGTGCTTCTGCCAACGTGCTGCAACCCCTGTGCCATGTGGCGGACACTGGTGGTGCTCCCATCCCCGCTACAGTAAGCCTCAAATCAAGAAAGAACCCCGCTGCTTTTTAGATGAGATGGTGCTGGTAAGCCTCGTATAGTGCTGTGCTGCTTGGAAGGAACTGCTTCGTTGGTTGGTAGTCATTGCCGGTGCTGCCATCCCGCTATAAGCATTCTTCCAAGGCCGTATAATACCAGCATGGAACTAGTACTAGGCTGAACTTTACAAGCGAACAACTAACTTCCTTCAATGGCTATTATATCTGCATAGCATATACCCAATAGCGTCTGACAACCCCTCCCACCACCCCACCAAAATCTCTCCTCCCCTCTCCCCCAACCAATCTCCAATACCCCCCTCCTCCAATCCCCCCCCTTCCTCTTCCACCCTCCCCCCGCCCACGCATGGGGTTGCAGTGGCAGCAGGAACATGGGTACATTCACTCTGCACTCTCCTCTGTGCGCTCTGTTGCTGACAGGCAACTCCGTTCGCTCTCCTGTGAGTCCTGTGCCTCTGCACCAGTGTGCTTTCGTCTCACTAGAGCGCCCTCGTCGCACTAGAGTGCCCTCGTCTCACTAGAGCGCCCTCGTCTCACTAGAGTGCCCTCGTCTCACAAGAGTGCTTTCGTCTCACTAGAGCGCCCTCGTCTCACTAGAGCGCCCTCGTCTCACAAGAGTGCTTTCGTCTCACTAGAGCGCCGTCGTCTCGCTAGAGTGCCCTCGTCTCACTAGAGCGCCCTCGTCTCACTAGAGCGCCCTCGTCTCACTAGAGCGCCCTCGTCTCGCTAGAGGGCCCTCGTCTCACTAGAGCGCCCTCGTTTCACTAGAGCGCCCTCGTCTCACTAGAGCGCCCTCATCTCGCTAGAGCGCCCTCGTCTCACTAGAGTGATGCTCTTGGGCGCGGGTGCTCTTGGGCGCGGGTGCTCTTGGGCGCGGATGCTCTTGGGCGCGGGTGCTCTTGGGCGTGGGTGCTCTTGGGTGCGGATGCTCTTGGGCGCGGGTGCTCTTGGGCGTGGGTGCTCTTGGGCGTGGGTTCTCTTGGGCGCGGGTGCTCTTGGGTGCGGGTGCTCTTGGGCGCGGGTGCTCTTGGGCGTGGGTGCTCTTGAGCGTGGGTGCTCTTGAGCGTGGGTGCTCATCCATGCTTCCGCATCTTGCTTGAAGTAGCCCGGGAGCAGGGCTACTCACTCTCTCCTCTGCATCGCTATTCGAGCTTTCTTATCAACGCATTCCGCACCCCCACGCTGCTGTTCCTTTCCTTGTCCTTCCACCTCAACCCCACCCCACCCCACCCCACCCCACTCCACCCCACCAGTCTTCACCCCTCACTGGTACGCGTCAGTCATCGCTCGCCTGCATCTCAACGCCTTCCGCATTTCACCCCTGCCGTCCGTCAACGCCGCAGTGGCTGAGCCCACCTTGATCGAACTAGCCGGGGAGCACGGCTTCTCACTCTCCTCGGCTGCGCTTTTCAGAGCTGCGAGCGCAGCTGTGAAGGGGGATGAGGGGGTTGGCACTGGGGTCTACCTGTTGGCTTCCTTCTTCAACCATGACTGCGGTGAGCTGTCGAATCACCCCATTCTCGTTTGAATCCCCTACCTTCTGGAGAAGAGGGGAGCACGGCTTCTCACTCTCCTCGGCTGCGCTCCTCGGAGATGCGAGCACGGCTGTTGAGGGGGAGGAAGGGGTTGGCTCTGGGGTCTACCTGCTCGCTTCTTTCCTCAACCACGACTCCGGTAAGCGTCCTTAAACCAGACTTCTGTTGTCTTTATTCCCGTACGTGCTTCCAAGGGGGTGAATGGGCTGGTACCGGGGTTTGCCTACTGGCTTCCTTCCTCAACCATGACTGCTGTGAGCTGTCCCATGACCATAGATCCCTTGTACCTTATCACCATAAATGCTACAGATGGGGGTGATGCAGCGTACACCGCACCTTGTACCTTCCCTCCTTCCTCTTCCCTCACATCCCAATTTGCACCTCACTCATCAATCTCCTCCGCCCCTCTACCCGTCCGCCCCATCCCCCAACCCCTGGCATTACCCAGATCCCAACGTGGACATTTCTTGGCCGTCGGATGCAACCGCCGTCCTCAGAGCCAGACGAGACATAGAGGCTGGTGAGCCATTCAGTGTGGTGAGCCATTCAGTGTGGTGAGCCATTCAGTGTGGCGAGACGCTGATCGTGGTGAGGTGGGTAGCAGTCACCTGAGGATTCTGATGCACGTCACATCACATCCACTCCCTTGGCACATCTGTCGTGTCATCCTCGCACGCACACATTCCCATACCTCCAGGAGAGCATCTGACAATAACATACCTGGACAGCAGCCTCGGCAGGAAGGCTCGGCAGAGGCATTTAAAAGAGGCGTACGGCTTTGACTGCAACTGCCAGCGCTGCCAGCAAGGTGATTAAAGCGAGCGTACAGACCAAACTCAAGAGTCAAAGGTTTTGAGTCCCCCGACGCACGAAAACTAACGCGAAGCAAACACGGTAACCAAATACCAGCAGTAGGGGTGCGATTTTTATTTGGGAAGATTCTGATTGGCTATGCGACTCACCACCAACCCAGCGACAGAACAAGGAAAGCCTCTCCCCCCGCCACATCAAGACCCAAAGCTTTTGCTTTTTACTCTGTACTCAGTAGCCATGGCTCCTTCCCCGCCATTCTCGCTCCCTAGCACAGCGCTTACCTCCTATTTCGTCATTCACGGGAAAGGTGCGGCTTATTAGTAACGTTTACATGTTCCCGTAACCCTGTGGGCGACAGCTACCTGCCGCATCTCCGTTAGTTTATGCGACCAGTGTTTTCGTACCTAATCGCCCACTTCGCTGCATGCCACGCTATCATTTTAGGGCGTGCCCACGCGAGGACCTTATTAGCAAGCTCTAAGGCATTTCCTCGCCGGTGCGCCCAAGTACCTCGCCCGTTGCCTCGCTTCCCACTCCCCGCTCCTCGCAGCAGCTGCGAGAGCGCTGCCCCGCTTTCCCACTCTTCCGCATTCCCTGTTTTCCGCCCCGCCCACTGCATCTGCCTGCATTCGCCTCCCCGATTTCCTGCACTCAAGCTGCCACTGCCTTCCCGCTTCCCGTATCCCACTTCCTGCTCTCTCGATTCCCACTTTCCCATTATCCTGCTTCCCCGATTTTCCGCTTTCCGCCCAATCCGCTAGCCCGCGTTCCCGCAGTCCCGCTTTCCGCTTTCCCGCGTCCCCGCTTCCCCCCAGCACCCATTTTCCCCTCCCTTTCCCATCCTCGTCGGCCATCCCATGTCTTCCCGTCGCCAATTCCCTCCCTTCCTATCCCCACGCCCTGCAGGGCTATGGGAGGGGGGGAAGCAGGGCTATGGGAAGGGGGGAAGCAGGACTATGGGAGGGGCGGAAGCAGGGCTATGGGAGGGGGGGAAGCAGGGCTATGGGAGGGGGGGAAGCAGGGCTATGGGAGGGGGGGAAGCAGGGCTATGGGAGGGGGGGAAGCAGGGCTATGGGAGGGGGGGAAGCAGGGCTATGGGAGGGGGGAAGCAGGGCTATGGGAGGTGGGGAAGCAGGGCTATGGGAGGGGGGAAGCAGGGCTATGGGAGGGGGGGAAGCAGGGCTATGGAAGGGGGGGAAGCAGGGCTATGGGAGGTGGGGAAGCAGGGCTATGGGAGGTGGGGAAGCAGGGCTATGGGAGGGGGGGAAGCAGGGCTATGGAAGGGGGGGAAGCAGGGCTATGGGAGGGGGGGAAGCAGGGCTATGGGAGGGGGGGAAGCAGGGCTATGGGAGGGGGGGAAGCATGGCTATGGGAGGGGGGGAAACAGGGCTATGGGAGGGGGGAAGCAGGGCTATGGGAGGGGGGGAAGCAGGGCTATGGGAGGTGGGGAAGCAGGGCTATGGGAGGGGGGGAAGCAGGGCTATGGAAGGGGGGGAAGCAGGGCTATGGGAGGGGGGGAAGCAGGGCTATGGGAGGGGGGGAAGCAGGGCTATGGGAGGGGGGGAAGCATGGCTATGGGAGGGGGGGAAACAGGGCTATGGGAGGGGGGAAGCAGGGCTATGGGAGGTGGGGAAGCAGGGCTATGGGAGGTGGGGAAGCAGGGCTATGGGAGGGGGGGAAGCAGGGCTATGGGAGGTGGGGAAGCAGGGCTATGGGAGGGGGGAAAGCAGGGCTATGGGAGGGGGGAAATCAGGGCTATGGGAGGGGGGGAAGTAAGGCTATGGGAGGGGGGGAAGCAGGGCTATGGGAGGGGGGGAAGCAGGGCTATGGGAGGTGGGGAAGCAGGGCTATGGGTAAGGGGAAATCAGGGCTATGGGAGGGGGGGAAGTAAGGCTATGGGAGGGGGGGAAGCAGGGCTATGGGAGGAGGGGAAGCAGGGCTATGGGAGGGGGGTAAGCAGGGCTATGGGAGGAGGGGAAGCAGGGCTATGGGAGGTGGGGAAGCAGGGCAATGGGAGGGGGGAAGCAGGGCTATGGGAGGGGGGGAAGCAGGGCTATGGGAGGTGGGGAAGCAGGGCTATGGGAGGGGGGGAAGCAGGGCTATGGGAGGTGGGGAAGCAGGGCTATGGGAGGGGGGAAATCAGGGCTATGGGAGGGGGGGAAGTAAGGCTATGGGAGGGGGGGAAGCAGGGCTATGGGAGGAGGGGAAGCAGGGCTATGGGAGGGGGGTAAGCAGGGCTATGGGAGGAGGGGAAGCAGGGCTATGGGAGGGGGGGAAGCAGGGCTATGGGAGGTGGGGAAGCAGGGCTATGGGAGGGGGGAAAGCAGGGCTATGGGAGGGGGGAAATCAGGGCTATGGGAGGGGGGGAAGTAAGGCTATGGGAGGGGGGGAAGCAGGGCTATGGGAGGGAGGGAAGCAGGGCTATGGGAGGGGGGTAAGCAGGGCTATGGGAGGAGGGGAAGCAGGGCTATGGGAGGTGGGGAAGCAGGGCTATGGGAGGGGGGAAGCAGGGCTATGGGAGGGGGGGAAGCAGGGCTATGGGAGGTGGGGAAGCAGGGCTATGGGAGGGGGGGAAGCAGGGCTATGGGAGGTGGGGAAGCAGGGCTATGGGAGGGGGGAAAGCAGGGCTATGGGAGGGGGGAAATCAGGGCTATGGGAGGGGGGGAAGTAAGGCTATGGGAGGGGGGGAAGCAGGGCTATGGGAGGGGGGGAAGCAGGGCTATGGGAGGTGGGGAAGCAGGGCTATGGGGAAGGGGAAATCAGGGCTATGGGAGGGGGGGAAGTAAGGCTATGGGAGGGGGGGAAGCAGGGCTATGGGAGGGAGGGAAGCAGGGCTATGGGAGGGGGGGAAGCATGGCTATGGGAGGGGGGGAAACAGGGCTATGGGAGGGGGGAAGCAGGGCTATGGGAGGGGGGGAAGCAGGGCTATGGGAGGTGGGGAAGCAGGGCTATGGGAGGGGGGGAAGCAGGGCTATGGAAGGGGGGGAAGCAGGGCTATGGGAGGGGGGGAAGCAGGGCTATGGGAGGGGGGAAGCAGGGCTATGGGAGGGGGGGAAGCAGGGCTATGGGGAAGGGGAAATCAGGGCTATGGGAGGGGGGGAAGTAAGGCTATGGGAGGGGGGGAAGCAGGGCTATGGGAGGAGGGGAAGCAGGGCTATGGGAGGGGGGTAAGCAGGGCTATGGGAGGAGGGGAAGCAGGGCTATGGGAGGGGGGGAAGCAGGGCTATGGGAGGTGGGGAAGCAGGGCTATGGGAGGGGGGGAAGCAGGGCTATGGGAGGTGGGGAAGCAGGGCTATGGGAGGGGGGAAAGCAGGGCTATGGGAGGGGGGAAATCAGGGCTATGGGAGGGGGGGAAGTAAGGCTATGGGAGGGGGGGAAGCAGGGCTATGGGAGGGGGGGAAGCAGGGCTATGGGAGGTGGGGAAGCAGGGCTATGGGGAAGGGGAAATCAGGGCTATGGGAGGGGGGGAAGTAAGGCTATGGGAGGGGGGGAAGCAGGGCTATGGGAGGAGGGGAAGCAGGGCTATGGGAGGGGGGTAAGCAGGGCTATGGGAGGAGGGGAAGCAGGGCTATGGGAGGTGGGGAAGCAGGGCTATGGGAGGGGGGAAGCAGGGCTATGGGAGGGGGGGAAGCAGGGCTATGGGAGGTGGGGAAGCAGGGCTATGGGAGGGGGGAAAGCAGGGCTATGGGAGGGGTGAAATCAGGGCTATGGGAGGGGGGGAAGTAAGGCTATGGGAGGGGGGGAAGCAGGGCTATGGGAGGGAGGGAAGCAGGGCTATGGGAGGGGGGTAAGCAGGGCTATGGGAGGAGGGGAAGCAGGGCTATGGGAGGTGGGGAAGCAGGGCTATGGGAGGGGGGAAGCAGGGCTATGGGAGGGGGGGAAGCAGGGCTATGGGAGGTGGGGAAGCAGGGCTATGGGAGGGGGGGAAGCAGGGCTATGGGAGGTGGGGAAGCAGGGCTATGGGAGGGGGGAAACCAGGGCTATGGGAGGGGGGAAATCAGGGCTATGGGAGGGGGGGAAGTAAGGTTATGGGAGGGGGGAAGCAGGGCTATGGGAGGGGGGGAAGCAGGGCTATGGGAGGTGGGGAAGCAGGGCTATGGGAGGGGGGAAACCAGGGCTATGGGAGGGGGGAAATCAGGGCTATGGGAGGGGGGGAAGTAAGGTTATGGGAGGGGGGGAAGCAGGGCTATGGGAGGGGGGGAAGCAGGGCTATGGGAGGTGGGGAAGCAGGGCTATGGGGAAGGGGAAATCAGGGCTATGGGAGGGGGGGAAGTAAGGCTATGGGAGGGGGGGAAGCAGGGCTATGGGAGGAGGGGAAGCAGGGCTATGGGAGGGGGGTAAGCAGGGCTATAGGAGGAGGGGAAGCAGGGCTATGGGAGGTGGGGAAGCAGGGCTATGGGAGGGGGGAAGCAGGGCTATGGGAGGGGGGGAAGCAGGGCTATGGGAGGTGGGGAAGCAGGGCTATGGGAGGGGGGGAAGCAGGGCTATGGGAGGTGGGGAAGCAGGGCTATGGGAGGGGGGAAAGCAGGGCTATGGGAGGGGGGAAATCAGGGCTATGGGAGGGGGGGAAGTAAGGCTATGGGAGGGGGGGAAGCAGGGCTATGGGAGGGGGGAAGCAGGGCTATGGGAGGGGGGGAAGCAGGCTATGGGAGGGGGGAAACAGGGCTATGGGAGGGGGGAAGCAGGGCTATGGGAGGGGGGGAAGCAGGGCTATGGGAGGGTGGGGAAGCAGGGCTATGGGAGGGGGGGAAGCAGGGCTATGGGAGGGGGGGAAGCAGGGCTATGGGAGGTGGGGAAGCAGGGCTATGGGAGGGGGGAAAGCAGGGCTATGGGAGGGGGGAAATCAGGGCTATGGGAGGGGGGGAAGTAAGGCTATGGGAGGGGGGGAAGCAGGGCTATGGGAGGGAGGGAAGCAGGGCTATGGGAGGGGGGTAAGCAGGGCTATGGGAGGAGGGGAAGCAGGGCTATGGGAGGTGGGGAAGCAGGGCTATGGGAGGGGGGAAGCAGGGCTATGGGAGGGGGGGAAGCAGGGCTATGGGAGGTGGGGAAGCAGGGCTATGGGAGGGGGGGAAGCAGGGCTATGGGAGGTGGGGAAGCAGGGCTATGGGAGGGGGGAAACCAGGGCTATGGGAGGGGGGAAATCAGGGCTATGGGAGGGGGGGAAGTAAGGTTATGGGAGGGGGGGAAGCAGGGCTATGGGAGGGGGGGAAGCAGGGCTATGGGAGGTGGGGAAGCAGGGCTATGGGGAAGGGGAAATCAGGGCTATGGGAGGGGGGGAAGTAAGGCTATGGGAGGGGGGGAAGCAGGGCTATGGGAGGAGGGGAAGCAGGGCTATGGGAGGGGGGTAAGCAGGGCTATGGGAGGAGGGGAAGCAGGGCTATGGGAGGTGGGGAAGCAGGGCTATGGGAGGGGGGAAGCAGGGCTATGGGAGGGGGGGAAGCAGGGCTATGGGAGGTGGGGAAGCAGGGCTATGGGAGGGGGGAAAGCAGGGCTATGGGAGGGGGGAAATCAGGGCTATGGGAGGGGGGGAAGTAAGGCTATGGGAGGGGGGGAAGCAGGGCTATGGGAGGGAGGGAAGCAGGGCTATGGGAGGGGGGTAAGCAGGGCTATGGGAGGAGGGGAAGCAGGGCTATGGGAGGTGGGGAAGCAGGGCTATGGGAGGGGGGAAGCAGGGCTATGGGAGGGGGGAAGCAGGGCTATGGGAGGGGGGAAGCAGGGCTATGGGAGGGGGGGAAGCAGGGCTATGGGAGGTGGGGAAGCAGGGCTATGGGAGGGGGGAAACCAGGGCTATGGGAGGGGGAAATCAGGGCTATGGGAGGGGGGGAAGTAAGGTTATGGGAGGGGGGGAAGCAGGGCTATGGGAGGGGGGGAAGCAGGGCTATGGGAGGTGGGGAAGCAGGGCTATGGGGAAGGGGAAATCAGGGCTATGGGAGGGGGGGAAGTAAGGCTATGGGAGGGGGGAAGCAGGGCTATGGGAGGAGGGGAAGCAGGGCTATGGGAGGGGGGTAAGCAGGGCTATGGGAGGAGGGGAAGCAGGGCTATGGGAGGTGGGGAAGCAGGGCTATGGGAGGGGGGAAGCAGGGCTATGGGAGGGGGGGAAGCAGGGCTATGGGAGGTGGGGAAGCAGGGCTATGGGATTGGGGGAAGCAGGGCTATGGGAGGTGGGGAAGCAGGGCTATGGGAGGGGGGAAAGCAGGGCTATGGGAGGGGGGAAATCAGGGCTATGGGAGGGGGGGAAGTAAGGCTATGGGAGGGGGGGAAGCAGGGCTATGGGAGGGAGGGAAGCAGGGCTATGGGAGGGGGGGAAGCATGGCTATGGGAGGGGGGGAAACAGGGCTATGGGAGGGGGGAAGCAGGGCTATGGGAGGGGGGGAAGCAGGGCTATGGGAGGTGGGGAAGCAGGGCTATGGGAGGGGGGGAAGCAGGGCTATGGAAGGGGGGGAAGCAGGGCTATGGGAGGAGGGGAAGCAGGGCTATGGGAGGGGGGGAAGCAGGGCTATGGGAGGGGGGGAAGCATGGCTATGGGAGGGGGGGAAACAGGGCTATGGGAGGGGGGAAGCAGGGCTATGGGAGGGGGGGAAGCAGGGCTATGGGGAAGGGGAAATCAGGGCTATGGGAGGGGGGGAAGTAAGGCTATGGGAGGGGGGGAAGCAGGGCTATGGGAGGAGGGGAAGCAGGGCTATGGGAGGGGGGTAAGCAGGGCTATGGGAGGAGGGGAAGCAGGCTATGGGAGGTGGGGAAGCAGGGCTATGGGAGGGGGGAAGCAGGGCTATGGGAGGGGGGAAGCAGGGCTATGGGAGGTGGGGAAGCAGGGCTATGGGAGGAGGGGAAGCAGGGCTGTGGGAGGGGGGTAAGCAGGGCTATGGGAGGTGGGGAAGCAGGGCTATGGGAGGGGGGAAAGCAGGGCTATGGGAGGAGGGGAAGCAGGGCTATGGGAGGGGGGAAATCAGGGCTATGGGAGGGGGGGAAGGAGGGCTATGGGAGGGGGGGAAGGAGGGGCATGGCAGCGGGGGAAAGGAGGTTCTTGGGAGGGGGGGAGAAGTAGGGGTCTGGATGGGAGGGAGGCGGGTTTTCTCTCTCGCGCCCCCCCCCCCCTATCTCTCTCTCTCTCAAGCGGTCCGTTTATTGCTTGGAAAACGGGGTACAGGCTAGGCAGGCAAGGGGCAACAAGTCAAGGTACGTGCATGTTTAAGGGCTCGAATCTACTCAAGCTCCCCTAGGGGCTCTGCTATGGCAAAGCAGTCCCCAGGTGCCATGTCGGCGTCAGGGGTGCCCACTGGGGTGTGGGGGGCCGGGGAGGCTTCATTAACTTTTCCCAGGTAAGCCAAGGCCTGTGCCCGCTGCAGCGTCACTGACCAGCGCTGGCGAAACTGGTGGAGCAGTTTCGCTGCCTGGTAGGAGCTGGGGTCTGCATTGAAAAGTCTCCTGGCCCCTGTGTCAGCCAGCAGCTTCAAGAAGGTAGGGACCTCGGCGCAGGGGCAGCCGTATGTCTCGACTGCCAGTGGGAAAAATCCGACATAGGGAGCCCGATTTCGGTAGTGGGAGATTTTCTTGTCAGCTTGTTCCCGGGCCATGTATCCGCGTCCTTGTCTTGCGTCCGGGTCCCGGCTGCTGATGGGATCTGTGACGGTGACGTCACAGATCCAGACAGCTCCGGAACTGCGGTCTCGGAGGGCGAGGTCGGCCTTGTGGCCGTCTACGGGGCTGTAGATGGTGGTCTCCTTGGTGACTATAAAGTCAGCATCTCGGGCCATCCGTATGCTCTCGTCCCGCAGGGCATTATGGGTGTCAGTCCGTCCGTGCCCGGTGCCACACCGGAGCAGGTGGTTGGGCAGCCTGGTGTCGAGGATTTCGAATTCCTCGGCGCAGTTGCAAGTGCGGGGGGCTGGGAATGGAAGGCCGAGGCGGAAGGCCAGGGCAATGGCGAAGTGTGGAGCTTCGAGGCGGAGGGATGGGAAGATGGGGATGGCATGAAGCCAGTCCCCTGCTCCATATCCAGCCAGGGAAAAGAGGCGTTGGGTGTGCCCAGAGAGTGGGTTTGGGTCCATTGTCCGTGTGGCTGCCACCTGGCCGGCGTATCGCACAGCCTGGACTTCGAGGGATAAGCGGTGTTGGAGTGGGGAGCCGGAGGGTTCCCTCCTCTCGGAGTGCAGGAGCTCCCGGGCTCGTGGGGGCATCGCCGTTTCACACTTCGCCACCCAGGTATGCAAGTGGGTGGGGCTGGTGAAAGGTGGCGTGAGGTGCCGGACAGCGTCGGCCAGGGGCCCTCCTGACGCTGCTGGTAGGGCAGCCAAGAGGCCCTGGGCTTGGGTGAGGCTGGTGAGGTAGGCTGGGTGTCCCTCAATGGCGGGGTCGGTTAGACCCAGTCCTCCAAGAGAGGGAGGGAGGGACGCTTGAGCCCAAGTGCGCACCCGCTCCACCTCGCCTCGGGGTGGTTGGAGGTTGCAGGCACGCAGGAGGGTATGGAAGAGCTCCCTACCCCAGTCGGACCAGACGTCCAGGGGAAGGAAGTCAAGGGGGGTGGTGCGGATTAAGTATGAGACACGCCGAGAAACGCAGCGTGTGAGGAGGAGGGATGAGGACTGGGGGTCCATTGTGGCCAGTGTGGCGAGGGGTTCGGCTAGCAGGGACAGCTGGGTGCGGAGGAATGCAGCTGTGCCCTCGGCTGTGCCTATAAAGCTGCCAAGTATGCGGACACCTTCTGTGTTGAAAGGTATGCCTGGGGGAAGGTGGTCAGGTGCAGGGCGTTCGGCTGACCACGCCGCGCATTTCGCGGGGTTGTGGGAGAGACCGATGCGGTCCATGGCCGCTGTGAAGTTGAGGAACGCCGAGGTGCAGGAGTCCGGATCGCCGACGAAGGTGATGTCGTCGGCGTACGCGAGGCAGAGGACCTCGGGGTGGGCCGCGGCGGTTGTTCGGAGCGCTGGGTGGATGGCGGCTGCGAAGAGGAGGGGGCCCATGGGGTCCCCTTGGCGAACTCCCCGCGCACTGAGTAGGGGTGGGCTGTCGAACTCGGCGTCGAGGTAGAGCAGCGACGGTGCTCCGTAGGAGAATTGAATGAAGGGGAGGAGCGGGCGCAGGGGCGAGGTGTTAATGGCGTGGATGATGGCCGTGCGGTCAACGCTATTAAAGGCGTTTGAAAGGTCGACTTGTAGGATGAGTGAGCCCGGGCGCGCTGAGGTAAAACCCCTGGTGGCATGGATAATGGTTTCTCCGCCGCTCCTGATGGCTACCCCGTATTGGTGTGGTAGGAAGTAGTCTTGCGCGGATTGCGTGGAGGAGATTAGCGCGGCTTTTGCCGCTAGCCGAAGGAGACACTCTCCTATTGCGATGGGGCGGGTACCCCCATCTGGCTTGGTAAGGGCCAGGAGGCGTGAGGAGGTAACGAGCTGGCTGACTTCGTGCGGCAGGTTACCCGCCAGTAGCCGCTGGACAAGCTTGTGGAGGTTTGTGGCGACGGTGGGGTTGGACAGCGAGGCGTCGCGAAGGTGCTCGAAGGTCATCCCCGAGGGGCCTGCCCCAACTCCATTTTCGGAGCGAGAGAGGAGCTTCGCGAACGTAGCGAAATCGACTGTCGGCGGCCTGCAGTTTTCGTCAAGCCGTGGCCAGGTGAGGCTTTCGACAAGCGGAGGGGGGTGTTTTGACTTCAGCGCGTCCAGCACCGTGGGGGTGGACTTGCTGACTGGGGTCGAAGTCAACGCGAGCAGAGCCCGTCGCAAACTGCCTCGGCGTACCAAGCCCTCGGCGCGGGATATTTTCCCAAGAGTGTCAGGTACGTGGCGGGGAGGGGGTGGCATGGTGACAGCAGAGGCAGCTGCTTGATACAGTGTGTCCCAATGGCCCGCGAGAAATTGTCGAAGTCGTCTTTCCGTCGCGGGCCAGTCAGGGCGTCGTGGTGAGGGTAGGCGAAGTGTGAGGCGCGGGAGGTAAAGTAACAGGATCCAACCCTCAATGGAGGTTGGATGTTTGGCGAGGAAAAGGAGGGGTGTCAGAAGGGCGAGCGCGAAAAGTTGACGGATTTGGGGGGGTAACCGGCGGAAGAGAGGGGGTTGGCGACTGTCGCAGAGGGCCGCGACGTCCCAAGTGGCGATGACGGCGAATCGGGAGGGGTCATTCGCCAGTTCTTCCGGGGACAACTGCGGGACTGCCTGGGGATGGGTGTCCAGCGGTGCCCGAGTATTGTGCATGCGGCTGGACCCTCGTCCCCTAGATCTGGGAGTTGGGTCAGTCTCTCGTCCTCCAGCGCGCCTGTTTGTTTCGACGTTTTCCTCCTCACTGGAGGTCTCAGGCGTGGGGTCTCCCTGGTCCCCTGGTATATAAGTTCCGTCTGCCCGTTCCTCCTCATCAGTTGTTCGTTGCAGTTCCGAGGCACTTAAAGCCCTGTTCGCTGCCTGCTGGAATCCGTTCAGCGGTCCTCCGTCGGAGGACAGATTGCCACGCCTTGCAGCCCCGCGACCGCGCCCTCCGGCCGTCCGTGTATTGAGGCTTCCGCGTCCGCCTCCGTGGTTTCCCCTCGGGACGGCCCTGGTCGTCGTTCGGCTTTTGTGCCGAGTCGTGGGGGGTGCCGAGTGCGGCGCGCCTCCTCGGGATGGAGCGACCAGCGCGGGAGCGTTCTGCCGATTTGGAGAGTACTGGGGACAGCGAGTCCCCCCAAGGTCGGGCGAGTCCTCCAGCACCGTCGAACCGAGATTGGGAGCGCGGGCTCCTCGTCCCCTCGACGGCTCGCCATCAGACTCCCGAGCGGATGCGGGGGCAGTCGCGGGGCAGGACTGCCGCGCCCCAGAGACACGAGGAGAAGTCCCATGAGCGCGCCTTGGATATTGGACGTGAACCAGTGGCGCGTGGCGAGGAGCATCAGTCGCCGCACCAGCAGCGTCCCTCTCGCCGAGGGACGCCTCAGCGCCGCCCCCAGGCGGGGCCGGGGCAGCAGCGCCGGACGCCGCAGGCGCCGCGCGGGCGTGCGGGCCAGCGCGTCGGCTGGAGGGCTGGCGGGGGGAGTAACCGTGGGTCCGCAGCGGAGAGGCGCCTAGGGCGGGCCGCGGCGACTCTCGAGGGCTTGTTCCGCAGTGTCGCCCAACCCCAGCAGGCTCTGGCGTATTCTCCGCAGCTTTTGGCGCCCCAGCAGTACCAGCCGGCGCACTCGCAGCCCGTGCGGTTACCCCTTCCTCAGGCGCCGGCGCCGGCGTTCCCTCCCCGCAGTGTGGCAGCGCTCCCGCTCCTCGACAGCCCGCACCTCTTGGCGTCCCTTCCCTCCGCACCACCTCCGCCGGTCCTTCCCTCGGCCGGTCCCTTCGATCCGCGTCGGTTGGACGTGCGGTCCGCGGAGACACTGCAGCCCTGGCAGCCGACGCCCCCGGATGTGTCGGTGGTAGGATGGTCCCGTGGCCCACCGCCGTTGGAGGCACCAGTATCGTTCGGCGGGCGGGCGACAGCGCCCTTTGTCCCCCCCCGCCGTTCGCTGGCGTCACCGACTGGAGTTGAGGGGGGGGCAGAAGCAGCGGAGATGGGGGGAGCGGAATCCACGGGCGAGGACTCGCCTCCTGGGGACCAGGGGTGGCGTCGCTCGGGTGGGCTGCGGATGCCGCCGAGGGCGCAGCTGGAGCGCCTGCGGGGGAGGGGGCGGCTGGCGGAGACTGCGATCCCAGTCGCCACGCTTCGTCGGCTCTGGCACGCGCAGAGGGCGATGGGGTATGCTGTGGAGATGCTGACGGACTCACACTCCGTTCTACGGAGCTCAGTGAGCCCGTGCAAGATGCCTCACGATCCGCTCCATCGCTGCGCGATGGCTGCAGCGGATCTGGCGGTCGTGTCCACGCGAGTGCAGCCTGCGCCCGCCTCGGGAACCGTGTTGGACCCGCGCCTGCTCGCCGTGATGCGGACAGTATCGGCGAGCGTAGACTCGGCTGCAGCTGTAGACATCGTTGGCGGTGCCGTGTCAGCGCTGATGCTCCTGGGGGACTATGTGAGGGCCCTGCTTGAGGAGGCTGGAGCGGACGAAGCCGCATGATGGGCTGCCGTCGTGTGTAGGTTCTGGTTGGTGAAGTGCGCTCTAGCGTGAGCGCTCTGGTAAGCTCTGTCAGGCTCTCCATGCTTGTTTGCCGTGTGTAGTGTTGGCGGGTTGTAGACCCCGGATGTGTGTATTTGATGTTGTCGTAGTTGACTCCGAAGCCTTGTGTCCTTGCCGCCCCTCACGCGCGGCCGAAGGCCGCGCTGCGAGCGTCGGCGGCCGAAGGCCGCCGACGCGAGCCGCCACCAAGGGTTGGAGAAAAGAAAGAACTGGAAACTAAACTGGAAGAATGAGCTAGGGAGAGAGCTTAAATAGCTAGGGAGGGACTCATGCTCTCTCTCTCTCTCTCTCGCTCTCTCTCTCCTCTCTCCCGCCACCAAGGGTTGGAGAAAAGAAAGAACTGGAAACTAAACTGGAAGAATGAGCTAGGGAGAGAGCTTAAATAGCTAGGGAGGGACTCATGCTCTCTCTCTCTCTCTCTCTCGCTCTCTCTCTCCTCTCTCCCGCCACCAAGGGTTGGAGAAAAGAAAGAACTGGAAACTAAACTGGAAGAATGAGCTAGGGAGAGAGCTTAAATAGCTAGGGAGGGACTCATGCTCTCTCTCTCTCTCTCTCTCTCTCTCTCTCTCTCTCTCTCTCTCTCTCTCTCTCTCTCTCTCTCTCTCTCTCTCTCTCTCTCTCTCTCTCTCTCTCTCTCTCTCTCTCTCTCGTTCTCTCTTTCTTTTTCTCTCCGCCTCTCTCTCTCTGGCCCCCTCCACTCACTCCTCCAAATGCCCTTCTCACTCTGGTTTCTTATTTGCGACCGTCCAACTGTCCCCCTCCCCCCCCCCCCCCCCCCCCCCCCTCTCTCCCCCCTCTTATTGTCGTACCCACCGCTTCCAACGCCACCCCTCATGATCCCCGTGCCTATCCCTTCCTAAAACCATTCCGTCGTACCTCCTGCTCCCATTCCGTCTTACCCCTGCTCCCATTCCGTCTTACCTCCTGCTCCCATTCCGTCTTACCCCTGCTCCCATTCCGTCTTACCCCCTGCTCCCACTCAGTGCTGTGAGGGGGGAAGCACAGTGCTGTGAGGGGGGAAGCACAGTGCTGTGACGGGGGGAAGCACAGTGCTGTGACGGGGGGAAGCACAGTGCTGTGAGGGGGGAAGCACAGTGCTGTGACGGGGGAAGCACAGTGCTGTGAGGGGGGAAGCACAGTGCTGTGACGGGGGAAGCACAGTGCTGTGACGGGGGAAGCACAGTGCTGTGAGGGGGGAAGCACAGTGCTGTGAGGGGGGAAGCACAGTGCTGTGACGGGGGAAGCATATTGCTGAGAGGGGGGAAGCATAGCTCTGTGAGGGGGGAAGCATAGCACTGTGCTCCTCTCCCCGTGTTTTTCGGGAGGGGTAGGCAGGCTCTGGTGGGGGGGAGAGGTGACATCTGGTGGGGGTTTCCTTGGTCGTGCTGCATTGTGTGTCTTGCTTTTTGCCTAATAAAAATGACGATCGCGCCCTTCTCGTTTGTGTACGTTTTAAAACCCTGACTTTGCACTCAGTGGGAACTAGATCCCTGATATTTTCAAGTCGTGTGCTTCATTGTTTAAATATGTATTTGTGTAAACGTAGATGCATTGTGGTGGTTTATACGTTTCTACGTTTTCACGAGCTTTAGCAACACTGTAGGTGCTTTTCTCCGTAAATGAGTTTTACTGTTTCAATTTGTCTGAACAGTGCTTTCGCGTGTTCGACGGGCAGCGTCGCCCGCTGTACCCTTGCGATCTCGCCAGTTTTGGCGAGATCATTAACAGTCGTCGCGAGACCCCTAGCCTTTCGCGTGGGGCCCGCCCCGTTTTTGCGACACTTGTGCCCCTCGCGATTTTCGCTACCCCCTCTTAGAAACTTGGGACTAAAGGTTCTTAAACTTAGGAGGCTAGGTTGGCTAGGATACTAGGAAGAAGACCGCCATGGAATGGCGTGAGGAAAAACGGATCTAGGAGGTGAGAGGATGTCGAGAAGAAAGGGAGTTGGATTAGGAAGAGAGGGGAGTACAAGGAGGGGTTTGTACCCCCTACAGAAAGGTTCAGTAACAACCTACCAAGCCTATATTAAATTATAACTTATATAATTTTAACACACCCCCTAGGCTTGGTAGTGTCAAGCCCACGCACACCCCCACACCCACACCCACACCCACACCCCCTAGCCCAGCACCCCCATTCCCAGCAGGAGCCGCAACGACTCCGGAAGAGGGTAGGTCTCACGGCCCCTTGAGACGGCAATGGCGGCAGCAGCGACAGTGACGACGGCGGCGGCGGCGGCGGTGTGCGGCGGCTCCAGGCCTGCGGCAACAGCGGCGGCGCCGGCGGCTCGAACGACAGAGGCTGGTGCGGCGGCCCCCGCCCTCTCGGCGGCATGTCCTGTCTCCTCGGCGGTGGAGAGGTCCCTCACATGGCAGTCATCGGCTGCAGCAAGAAAGGGGGGGATGCAAGGGAAGCAGGTGCAGGTGGGGGGGGGGAGGGGAGGGGGCGGGGCGAGGCGAGTCTTCAGCGACGCGCCATAAGTGGCGCGGCGCTTACTGGCAGGAGGGCGGGCAGGTGGCGGTTACGACGGCGTGCTGCCCGCTGCCGCCCATCCACGCTGCCGCGGCAGCATGACGACGCCGCCAGGGCGCGGCGTCGACGCTGTGGCGGCACGCCGACGCTGCAACGGCAGCAAGGTGACGCTGCCACGGCAAAGCGTCGACGCAACCGGCTGCGGCCCGACGGCGCCGTCGACGCTGCAGCAGGACGTCGACGTCGCGACGGCAGAGGCAGCGTCGATGCCGCAGCGGGACGTCGACGCTGCGACTGCAGAACGACGGCCCGACGCCACGGCAGCGCGTCGAGCCGGTCGCGGCACGACGCGGCCAGTGGCAGCGCGACGTCGCCACTGCAGCAAAACGCGGCCGCCATGGCCGCTCGAGCTAATGAGAGCGAGGAGTAAATTGCGGAAGCGTGAGGAGGCGATCCAACAGGGAGGATCTCCTGCTCTGATACCATCTTAGAAACTTGGGACTAAAGGTTCTTAAACTTAGGAGGCTAGGTTGGCTAGGATACTAGGAAGAAGACCGCCATGGAATGGCGTGAGGAAAAACGGATCTAGGAGGTGAGAGGATGTCGAGAAGAAAGGGAGTTGGATTAGGAAGAGAGGGGAGTACAAGGAGGGGTTTGTACCCCCTACAGAAAGGTTCAGTAACAACCTACCAAGCATATATTAAATTATAACTTATATAATTTTAACACCCCCAACTCAAGATTCAAAGCCTTTGAATCTTGAGTTTGGTCTGTACGCTCGCTTTAAGGGCGAATTCCTACGAAGTAGGATCAGAATCAGAAACGCGAAATTCATTCTTGTTCCCCTTTCCCGGTCTTCAACGCTAAGATCAGAAACAATGGTGCCACCACAGCGTCGCACAGGGACCTCTGATTGGCTGCCCATACAAATACATTCGGGACAGCTGTCAACTTATACATATTATCTATGTAGAAGTTATAGGCTAGACTGAGGTATGCTTCTAGTGAGTACAACCAACTAGTATTTGTTCTAGGTTTCCACCTCTAGTAATCATTCGTTTCTACGTTAACATGGTATCACGCTTAGGTTAGGATCCCCCCGCCTACCGCTTCCGCCCGTCGCGCCTCCTAGGCCCCGTCGCGCCCCCTAGGCCCCGTCGCGCCCCCCCTGGGCCCCGTCGCGCTCGTTAGGCCCCGTCGCGCCCCCCCTGGGCCCCGTCGTGCCCGCTGGGCCCCGTCGCGCCTCCTAGGCCCCGTCGCGCTCCCCCTGGGCCCCGTCGCGCCCACTGGCTCCCGTCGCGACCCCTAGGCCCTAACGCGCCCCCGCTGGGCCCCGTTGCGCCTCCTAGGCCCCGTCGCGCCCCCCATGGGCCCCGTCGAGCCCGCTGAGCCCCGTCGTGCCTCCTAGGCATCGTCGCGCCTCCTAAGCCCCGTCGCGTCCCCCCCCTCTGGGCCCCGTCGCGCCCGTTCGGCCCCGTCGCGCCCCTCCTAGGCCCCGTCGCGCCCGCTGGGCCCCTTCGCGCTTCCTAGGCCCCGTCGCGCCTGCTAGGCCCCGTCGCGCCCCCCCTGGGCCCCGTCGCGCCCGTTAGGCCCCGTCGCGGCCCCCCTGGGCCCCGTCGTGCCCGCTGGTCCCCGTCGCGCCTCCTCGGCCCCGTCGCGCCCCCCCTGGGCCCCGTCGTGCCCGCTGGGCCCCGTCGCGCCCCTTAGGCCCCGTCGCGCCCGCTGGCCCCTGTCGCGCCTGCTGTTAGCGCTCGCCCGCCTGGCCTCCTCCTAGTGCCGCTCGGCCTCCTCCTAGTGCCGCCCGGCCTCCTCCTAGTGCCGCCCGGCCTCCTCCTAGTGCCGCCCGGCCCCTTCCTAGCGCCGCCCGGCCTCTCCTCAGCGCTGCCCGGCCCCTCCTCGTGCCCGACCGGCCCCAGCAGCACCAGCCTGGCCCCTCCCAGCACCAGCCCGGCCCTAGAGCACCTGCCCGCCTCCCCTGCTCGGCCTGCCGTGTCCTCTCGGGCCCTGTGTCTTCTGCTTGCCTGCGCTGGGACGCCTAGCTGCTGCCCTACTGGAGAGTGCTGCCGCCGTGTCCCCGCGCCGCTGTGCTCCTGTGCCGCTGAGGAGCTGTGCTGCTGTGCCGCTGTGTCGCTGAGGAGCTGTGCCGCTGACCCTGCACGATGGCTGACTTTGTGCTCCGCCTGGACGCTGAGGGCCACGCGGTTGACTTCGCCGCCTGGCTCTCCGATCTTCGCCGCCAGCTTACAGGTCAGCGCCAGGATGGCCACTCTCTGGTTGTCCATGCTGATGGCTTGCTCCCCCGTCCCCCTGCACCTACTCCCCTCCCTGCTGACCCCTCCTCTGATGACCGTGAGGCTTTCTCTACTGCTGCGCTAGCCTGTGCGGTCTGGGACTCACGCGATGCAGTAGCTCAGGTTGCTATTAGTCACGCCCTCCCTGTGTCTGAGCGCTCGCGTTTTGCTACTGTTGAAACGGCCAAAGCTTATTTAGACGCCGTTATTGCTCGCTATTCCACCCCTGCCTCCGATTCTGCTGGCCGCTTGCTCTTTCCGATGCTGTTCCCAGACCTGGCTGCCTTCCCTACTGTCGCAGATTTTGCCACTCATTTGCGTGCCCTAGAGACTCGCTATCGCACTGCCAGCACTGCTGCCCAGCTCACTGCGCTCCCCCCTCCTTTCTGCATGACGCTCTATTTTATCGCTATGCGCCTGCCAGACCGCCTCGCTAGTGCTCGCGACCACTTTCTTAGCCAGCACCCGGGTGACCTCACCCTGACCGCCTTTGTCGACACCCTCACTGAGATCGAGACTCGCCAGCGCACTATCGCTCAGTCGAGCGGTGCGCCGGCAGTCTCTATCTTTCACGGTTGTGCCCCATCCCCGTGCACGTTCACTGACGTTTCGGCTGCGGTCGCCACGGCGACCCCTCTTACCGAGACGGCTGCTGCTGTCCACCCGCAGCAGCGCTCGCGTCGCGGTGGCCGTGGCCGCCAGGGAGGTAGGGGTGGTGACGCAGGTGGTAGTGGTCGTGGTGGTGGTGACGGTAGTCCGCCTGAGGGGACTA